CCAAAGCTGCGTTTGTCCCTCCAGTCTTTTGTGGAGCTTCACGTAAAAATTAACAGATAATTCGGAGTCTGTGCCGGATTTTAGAAATGACTCACAGGGGCTATAGCCCAGAGCGCCATGATTTTAGGGGCAGCAAAGATTTTAAATGTTTTTGTAATGAACACATGTTTTACATTGTACCGTATATAAAACTCATATGAAGTGTGTTAATATTGTTACATTTTTAGTAAGGTGTAAAAAGCTGAAATACAAAGATTTTTCTTGTGTTTTACATAAAAAATGCCTGTTTTACGTAGTACCTTAGATGAAACTCATATACCCATATTTTTTTAACTTTGTTACTTGTTATTAATGCATACAAAACTCTAATAGAAGAACAGGTTGAACTTGTAGTTCATCGTTTTGGGACCGACATAAAGTCATTTCACATGGGAAGCTTTAAACCTGCTGATGTTCGCCTATCGATGAATGTACTGGAATTTGCATGAGTGAAAAGCTTGTTTCGTTTTTTCATTATTATTATTATTGAAAAAATAATAATGCCCGTTGAAAACATTTGTGATCCTGATACGACCCAAAATGCTGAAAATGAGTTTGAATCTTCTGATTTAGATGATTCTGGTTATGATCCTGAATTAGGGTCCATTATGACCCTCAATGAAACCACATGAAGTGACTTTGTGCTTGTAAATATATCCTATCATCACGTCTCACTAAGGCGTCAGTAGATTTTAGAAAATGACAAACCTGCAGAGACACTCAGCAACCTGTTGTTGTTGAATAGGTTGTTTGTGTGTTGGAGAGGTGGAGGGTGTCACTGCAGGGCCAACAGTTCATTTCTCAGCAGGGTGGAGAAAGGATGGCTCCCCCCCCCATTATCCCACACACAACACACACACACACCTGACTCCGTATCTCTCTGCAGCTCTCATCTGAACGTCGTTACGCAGTCATCTGTGTCACTTTTGAAATATCGCTGCCGTTTGTTGGGGTTTATGTTGCTCCACTCGTGTGACACATGATATGAAAAGCAAAACGGGAAACAGGGTGTTCCCCAGTGTTTTCATTAAAATCAAAACCAGAGCCAGATGGAAGCTCTAACTCATTATTTACAATGAAGTTGTGATATTTATCTAATGAAATTCATTCTTGCATTCATAGTTTTTACTTGGCAGAAGTGTCATAGTGTCACTTTGTCATGTTACGGCTATTGACCTTGATGCATTGGGATTTTAATTGTTAGGCCAACACAAAGTATTGCACGCTTGTTACATGGATCGCTTTTCTTGCAAAAACATTTTAGGTTTTTTAAAGAAAATTATGAAACCCCTAAATAAATCCAGTGAAATTTGTCAGACTAAATTATCTCATTTGTTAAGTTATTCCCGCATCAAAAGCATATCTGAAGTGTCTTAATTCTTTCATGCATGTTTGAGAAATCCTTTAATCTTCATGGCAACTATTCAGCTGCCCCACTCCGCTCGAGACTAGCTGACAGCAATTAGCAAACACCTGGAGAGCAGGTGCAGCTACTTCTTAGTTCAAGTTTAAAATGTTATTAAAGGGCAACTAGAGGAGCCTTGTTGGGATGACTTCTGTGTCAGATAGAGCAGGAGTTTTTAAAGACAGAGGCCCAATTTCAAAGCATCGCATTATGAAGTCAAATGTCTTTTCAGTCATATTTGACACATACAGCAGTGTTTACAACACACCTGAAGGGTAACATAGTTTCTTGATTGTGTTAGATAATACATAAACTGCCCCTTTCATTTTGGGTGACTGGTAAACGGGCGACACTCACACGTGAAGCCAATCTCATCTTCCTCCACAAAGGTCTGAAAATCCAACTTAGCGACTTTGACACTGTATTTAGTGAGTTTTCAGGCAAAATAAATTGGAGCGGTCCAAAATCGGAATTGGCCAGTTAGGCTTTTTTTTTTTTTAATCAGTGGTCGTCCAGAAAACTGCAGTCAGTGCATGTGAAGAGGCCAGACCTGCATTCCAAAGAAAGTCTGTGGGAAAAACCCACCAAAATAAACTGAGGTTTGAGGTTGTGACATGATAAAATGTTTAAGGGGGATGAAAACCTTCGCAAGTGTTACGTGTTGCTCAGATTAAAATGCACAAAACGGAACAGAAGAAATGCAAAGCCATGCTGCTGGTGCTAATTTACGTCACCACAAACTGGAACGATCTTCCAAAATGTAGGTTTTATTGATATCTAAAGTAACAAAATGCTAGTTAAACATATATATTGTAAATTCTAGTTTCAGATATGTTTATAAGTTGCCAAAGTTAAGTATCCCGGTAGCTTTAGTGGTAAATCAGCCGTTTTCATTGAGCTCTGTCTGGACTGTTTACGTTCTGCTGCTGCTGGCGCTCAGCAGGAGACACAACGCAGAGCCTTCTCGGCCCAGCAGGGTCAACACACAGAGGCCTTTTCAGGTCAGCCAGAGCCGTTTCATGGAAACCGTCAGCCTGTCTCCGATAAACTCATTTCCCTTTGTTTCTCCGTCTGAGATTTAACAGCGCTGTTAGCAATCACTCAGCACACGTAGCAGTCGGGTCCACTGCCACTGGCTGAGCTTCAGCGGGTCGCCCTGACCTCTGCTGCTGAGCCATGTCTTTCTCGACTAAGAGGCTAAAGTTTAGTTCCTGGCAGCGCTGCAGAGCAAACCAGGAGCGTGTCGAACCAGGGCCGGCCCTCGTCGGACACGGGGGTCCCACAGAGCCGGCGGGTCAGAGGTGAAATCCACCAGGTGGGAAAAGACTCAGAGACGTGAAGAAAGCAGGCGAAATGATGCGGGTCGTTTTCTGTCTGTGATGAAATAGCGCAGAAACCTAAATCTTGATACGACAGACAGAGTTGGACAGTATGGATTCACTTTTTTTTCCTTTTCTTTTTGGGCTTACTTCCTTATCTAAAGACGAAAGTACATCAAATATTTCCAAAAGGTGTTTTTATGTCAATCATCTGTTTGGCGTGTACGAGGGCCGGGCTATGAGATTGTTTGTTAAATTATGAGGATATAGTCATAATATTAACATTAAATTTTTTTGTTATTTTTCATGCTGGAGTAAACTGGTAATATTACAACTTTATTCTTGTATTCCTTTTACTCTGTTGTTGTATGGTTGCAATACTGTGACTATATTCACGTAGTTAAAAGTTTTAGTCCGGTGCTAATATTCTGTCACAGAATTCAAAGTCCAAATTATAAGAAGTAGTAAAACACTTGTCGAAAAAAAAAAAAGAAAAAAAAGACAAACCTTGAACGGGTTGATATCGCTCTGAATTATGGAAATCCAAAATCTTCAAAGGCCAAAATTTTGATTAATCAATAAAAACAATTAATTGCCTAGACCTGCTGGGGTCATTGTTATAGAAAGTTTTGTCTCGATTTCTTGTATTTTTAACATTCTGCTCATTGCTCTGCTCATTTATCACGTCTCCGCTCCTCTATAGTGAGTCACCTCAGTGTGCAGTTCATAAACAGCTCCTGTCAAAGTGCTGCCTTTCACCTCCTTGGATCTGCAGTAACGTGAGATCTGTAACTCGAGGTGGGGGTGGTGTTAGTGGTCACAGTGCAGGGACTGGTCAATGTTTGCAGGATGAAAGTCTCACTATCAGGTTGCATTAAGACCAATTGTTTGGCCTCAGGCGATGGATGCCATTGCCTTAGTAAACAGACCATGTTTACCCTGGACCTGAGTTAGATCAGATGTTATTTAATCTCCTGCAAAACCAAAACAATCATCTTTGTGTTCGTGCGCCAAAGAATGTGGCGTCTCTCTTGTCAGAAGCTGGGCCAGGCCGTAGGAAGGGCTGACGAGGGCGGAAGCCCAGGGCTCCAATATTTGTGGGCGGCTCAAAATTTTTTACTGTTTTTTACTTTTTTAATGAATGGGGGTTTTGAAAACATTGTACTGTATGTAAAACTCATAAGCTCAAATCATGTGAGTTGTATTATTTTAGAATTTTTATGTTTTTAAAAAATATCAAATTAATTGAAACTGTAGTGGATTTTTTTTCTGGAACAACATGGAGTTGTTATCACTGATGAAGGTAAAGAAGTTGTTTTGTAAATTGCCTGTTGGCTTATAGTTTGACTGGCTTACTTGGTATTAGTGAGACGAGAATAATGGATTATCAGACATTTATCTAATTACTTACTTTTAGCAATTTATGATATGTTAAGTCATTCCCGATTATATCTACCTGTCCAGGAACATCGTCGCTGTGTAAATAAACAGCATAAAGTATTATTGGCTACAGGGCTGCAACTAAAGATGATTTAGTGATCAATTAATCTATCAATTATTCTAACGATTAATCGATTAGCCCGATAAAAAAAATGACAGGCTACGGAGTTTTCATTTAACCATTTAAAACCATTTTTAATCCAAAATTAGAAATACATTAAAAGATGCAAATAAACAATGGAATTATTTTTCCATTTAAATGAATATTTAAATGAAAAAAACATTTGATGATGCAATACACCCGAAATGCAACATGTGTATATTTTTTGTACAGTTTTAGCTTAATTTACTAGTCTGAATATGTCGGGAGTTGGGTTTGTTTTTCAGCAGTTAATAATTTGTATATTCCAGCTAATAATTAATCAATTACTAATTACTACTTATTTCAGTATTTGAGTAATCACAATTAATTGCATTTTATCCGATTAGTTTTTCAGCCCTTATTAACTAGAAGTCGTCTTAAGCACGCCATGCATCAGTTCAGACCTGCTGATTGTACGACTGGCTAATAATTGTAGTTATCATTGGTAAATGACATTTTACTGAGTAAATAGAGCACAAGACTGGCTGTGGCCCAGGGCCCCAGATTCTTGTAAATCCGGCCCTGGTCAGGCGCTGTGACGTTGAGTCAGCGTTTACCCTCCTACTTGGGGAAATATCAGTTTTGTTTGTTTTTCCCCTCATTGCTTTCTATGTCTTATGCCAAAGAATAAACGCTGTGTTCGTTTCTCCGACAGCGGTGTCTGACCTGGACGTGGAGAGTAAGCTGACGGCACACTTCAGAGCGCCGTGGCGCCTCCAGAGGAATGTTCTGCACCCCTCCACTCGGCCAGCATGTGTGGAAGAGCTGCACAGGCAGGCCAACCACAGCCTGTGGTCACTGAACCAAGGTGAGCCGCTGGGCCTTAGCACCTGACCCATACTTCTGCTGCTCTCTGTGGCTCAGGATGATTGTATGCCATTGTTCAATTTCAGATTTATCACTTAACGTTAAGTTTTAGTATGTTCTCGCTTTGCTTTGAACATACGAAGAAAGCCTAGAGACTTTGGAAGGAAGTACCCCGGAAGTATGGCCTAGTCAACTTGTTAAAATTACTAAAGATTCCAAAGAATAATTTGACTGTTTTACAGTTTTACATGTTGAGTTGGCATGTTGCCTTATTCCAACTCATTCTTAAAACGAAATACAATCTATTGATTTCAAATATGGAAAATGTCAGAGAAAAAAAATGAATAAGAACAAAACAACAAGAAAAAGACATAATAATCAAACATAAACAGCAAAACTTTAATATCTGATTCGAAAAGGAGCAGGAAGAAGCCAAATATATCCCACATTACTCATATCTACACATTTAGTTTTTACTCCACGTCACAGTCTCTGCACTTTCAAATTACAATTAATAACAAAAAAAGAAGTAAAATTTTTTTGTCTTGTGTTTATTTCTGACTTGCATTTGAAGCAGCGCCTTGGTAAAAAGTCAAGTTGTTCTGAAGTCAACCTGCTTTCAAGCAGGATTCTGGTGTTATTTTGCCCCCTGGTGGAAAATGCATGTAAATGCACCCTCACAAAGACTTGATCAAAAGTTCAATCGAAAAGCAATGATGCTCACAAAACCTGTAATCATAAGTGCGTCTTCTGCTTCCTCTCATAATCATGTTTTGTGCTTGTTGTGATTAAAGTGTGTGTGTTTTCAGATCACCAGAGGAGGGAGCGCAGAGTGACCATCTCAGCCCTGCCCCCTATGCCCATGTACCCCTCCCCTCTCATCGAGCCGACGCAAGACGGTCGGGGCAAAAGTCTAACAACGGTGAGGCGATTATCCCGTTATCTTTAGTCTCCAAGAACAACAATCGATACATCAATGTGTTAGGCTGCGGAAGAACAACAATCGATACATCAATGTGTTAGGCTGCGGAAGTCCTTCCAGTCAGCTTGTTGTGTCTCTTAACGCCTGATCTGTGGAGCTGTAAACGTAAAGTTGCACAAACATGTAACATTTAAAGCGACGCAATGGCTTTTCTTTACAAATACATTCATACCTCCAGATGTCTTCCTAATCTTGTCGAGTTTGGTAGCTCATAACCGGGGAAGTGGAACAATGGTTTTCGAAAAATTATTACAAATACAAATCAGAAAATCGTACAGAGTTCAAAAACAGGTTCGAGAGAGGCTTCCAAAACAGCAGCAGAAAATTTGACAATACGGAACAACACTCCCACTGTGGGACCTGGTGGTGGCAGCATTACAGTTTTGGGGTTTTTTTTTTCTTTCCCTCAGCAGGGAATTGGAAAGCCTTTGAGAGTCGACGGGACAAAGCTAAAAACAGGACAAACTCAAAATCAAAAATAAAAATAACAATAGAGATAAGATTTGAAATTGAGAGTGTCAGCGGGTCGTATTCCAGAAAAACAGCAATATCGCACATCCGATGAAACAGTTTTTATGGTTTGTTTGTTTTTTGGCTTGAATTTTAGAACGGCCCTGTCAAAGCCCACACATGCGTCCACTCTCATTGAGCGTGAGCAGTTTTCCAAATTTTTATAGACCTCAATGGACCTGCATGGGCCGCACTTTTCAGATTTGAAATGCTTTTTTAACAAACAAAAAAAAAGTCACTTCACAATTTTTCTCTTTTTTGTGTTTGTAATGTGATAAGATGTGAAACTGCTGTGAAGCATTTTTCACAAAAACCAGCTGAACTCTACAGATCAGTCTCAGTTTAATGATCCAGATGTGCCAAGACTTTCCACTGGCACAAGGAAGGTTTTGTTTAGTTCTTTGTAATATAATGAAGTTTAGCCATAATTCTCCTTGTAACGTGAAGGCGCCTTTTTTTTTTGCTCTCCCCCTCAATCCAAGCAGCCAGAGAGACGTGTTAGAGATGCATCCACTCAGTTAGCCGAGGCTCAGGTAAAGGCGGCAGCGGAGACGTTTTGTTTTTCATGTCACCACTGTATGTTCGGACCTGCGTCACGCTCCTCCGCGCCCTCGCCGCCACTCGTGTCATTATTTTACATTTTTGTTGTCGTTTGCTTGTGTCCTGTGTGTTTCCGTTTTGTCATCGTCTCTCCACCCTGTCGTTCAGTTCGACTCCACCCGCTCCTCCTCCCCCACCGAATGTTGCAGCCTCTCTCCGGAGCAGAAAGGTACTGGTTCTGGTCCTCCCGCCCGCCCGACCCTCCCGTTTGCTTTCCACCTGTCCTTTCATCTGATTTGCATGATTTTCATCTGCTTTAGATGCATGAACTCTCGGTTTCTCCGCCCTCTTGAGGTGGTGAAGTAAAAAAAAGAAAAAAAAAAAGACGGAGGTTATCAGTTTGACGTTTTTCTGTGAAGTTTCAGTTTGAAGTATGTGAGGAATGTGTGTGTGTGTGAGCCACATTCACTCTATGTTAATGAAAGGGTTGACGTTTTGGGAGCTTGTGTCTGTGATTACCCATGATCCTCCTCTCTGCACTAGCCGACAACCTTTGAGCTTGTTTGTTTGACCCAAAAGGCCCGATGTGCGCGGACAAAGACAAACACAAACCGTCGCTACTCCTCTTCACCCTCCTCCTCCTTCATCCTTCCTCTCAGAGCCTCTTCAAAACAGATCAGCTGTAAATGGTCCCCCCCTTTGATTTTGTTTTCTTCTTCTGCTCATTGCGAGAAGTTTCCAAGGAAACTGGTTTCTTTTGTTGGCCCCGTTGGTCTGCTGGGAACCGGGAGCACAAAGGCTGGAGAGGCGGCTTTAAATGGAGAGGGGGCCGTGGGGGTGGGAAGACTTTGGGTGTCAGAGGTGGGAACCAGTTCGGCCTGAGAGTCACTCCCAGTTTCACATGTTGGAAACTGGAGGGAAGGCAGAGAAATCCTCAGCTCGCGAGACGTCAGAGTCGGTTTCCGGCGCGTCTCTGAGGTCCGGGAGGTTTGCTGCAGCTCAGAGGAATTTGATCCTTGCGCGTTTTTCCCAGAGGCTCGCCTGCCACCGCCGCAGAGGTGCCGCTCATTCTCACAGTGCGACTGCAGGCTGCAGAATACATCTCGCAGAATAGGGACTGTGACGTGTGTGTGGAGTGAGTGCTAAAGTTTTTCTTGGTCTGCGCTTCCTGCAAGCTGGAACTGTTTCTCTTTTACTTTTCCTTTTTTTATTGCATGAAAGTCTGTTTGTGTTTCTTTGAATGCTTCTCTCGCTTCCTGCTCTCATTTGCTATGAAGCACGCTGTTCGTTACTCAACGGATTCTTTGCACTGCTGTGTGAAACTCAGCTACTGGAAGGGTGGGTGTGTTTTACTGACGTGTTCTCAGAGGCAGGGTTCACACTCCCGGCTTCGTGGTTCTCAAACTTTTCTCGGCAAACGCCACCTCAGGATCAGGTTTTCCACCACCGTCCTGACCGCACTGCAAAAAGACTAAATCGTACCGAGTCGTTTTGGGTCCAGTTTCTAGTGCAAATATGTTAGGAGACTTGAAATAACACAAAACTAACTGAAAAGTAACTTTTCAGCAAGATGTAGGAGCTTGTTTTAAGGCACTTATTTCTTAATATTGATTAAAAAAATAAGTTTATGTTGCATTGGCAGATTATTCCACTCATAACACGTTTTTCACATGTTATATGTGAAATATATATATTAAGTACACATGAGTATACATTGAGAAACGACTGACTCAAAACAAGCCACTATATCTTGCTTAGTTTTGTCTTATTTCAATTGTCCTGGGGAATTTGCACTAGAAACTTGACCAAAATGCTTGGTAAGATTTTGTCTTTGTGCAGTGCAGAACAAAAGATCAGAAGACCTAATCAGGAAAATCTGAGGTTTCTTCCCAACTTCACTTCCAAAATCAAATTTTGAAATTGCTTTAAATATGCAAGTAGGTGATAGCTACACAGTGCAGAATCTGTTAGTCTGGAGATTATGTATCTCATTAAAATATCCTCTTTCCACATTTCCTCCACACTTTACCCTCTCTGAAGCTGAGTTTTTTTTTTTTTCCTTCTTCTTCTTTAACTCTGCCGACCCATTTTCATATAATCCCACCATAACAGTCTAACCATGCAAAATATCCATCTGTTGCAGGCTGCGCCTACTGACCCCGACACTGACGGGGTGGCTCTAGGTCACCGGTCTAAGTTTCCCATCCCTAACATCCCCTCCACCCTGGACAAGCAGACTAACTGGTCTAGAGCTCTGCCGCTGCCCACCCCAGAGGAGAGAATGAAATGCAATTCCCAAGTCATCGCCTCATGCGTCATTCCTATTAATGTGACCGGTAAATTCAAATCACCAAAATGTCTCAGTTGTCATCTCTTTGTTCAGGTCTGTCTTTGCATCTTTTAAAGAAGCTCTGGAACGCTAAATTTTTTTGTTTGTTTGTTTTGTTTTATCTTTTAATGTATTGGAAACTCCTCTAATAGTAGAAAAATGGCATTTTACAGGAGAATGTGGACGTGCTGGCTGATTAGCCACATTGAGTGAAGTCAGAGTATTATTCTTTTTAAAACATTAAATGAGAGCAGATTTGTTATGGCAACAAAAATACTTAAAAATTGTGGCAAAACTCGCTGAGTCGCAGACGTTTGAGATAAAAACCAGAACAGGAGAAGGCCTTCTTGCTGATATACTTAGATTAGCAACGGTTTTGGGCCATTTTGATAGATGAACCATTAAAATGATTGTGGTGTTTGTTTATGATTCAAAAGACTATTCGACAAATGTATAAAATCTCTTCTTCTTTGGGGAAAAAATAGAAACCTTTCTTCTTTTTTGTAATTCCTGGTAGAAAACGACCACACTACCAGCTGTCGTCTTTATTAATTGATCCACTTTGAAATCCCCATAACAATACAGCTTCTTACTGGCCACATAAAATTAAAAAGTCTTATCGTCCCGTTATAAATAAAAAAAAGTTGTAGTTGTAGCAAAGCCGGATATTGAGATTTCATTTTATTTTTTTTTTTATGTTTAAAATCAAAAAGTTAGCCGCGCTCAGTGAGCGCACAAATGGTAAAGGGAAAACCGTTTCTGAATAGATTTTTCAGTCTCCAGTGAGTTATTGTAGAATGTTTCCAAACACTAAAATAACTAAAATAACGCTTTGCTAGAGCTGGATCGTAAAACTGAATCACTATGCATCTCATTGTGATTAGCCCTTTTGGCTCTGACCTGAGAGTGGAGAGGAAGAAGCGCGTTTACGAGAAGGTTCTGCATATTTCACATTTTGACTCATTTTGTTCCGATAGCGTCAAACTCCTCGTCCTCAAAAGATCCTGGCTTGCGCGAATTACCCTTGCAGACTGCAACTATAAAAGTGCGAGTCATGCTTTGTGCCGGGCGAACTCTGTTCCTCAGTGACGCTTTGCATTGCTGAGAGGCCAGGTGCTGTGACATGAATGGCAATTAGTTTTGTTGAAGCGGATAAAAAGATGTGCTTGATGTTATTTACTGTCCCTCTCGCTGACTTGAAAACAGGAGCTATGTGCCAACATGGGCCGAGTCAAAGACAGTTGAAGGGGGGGGGGGGGGCACATTTATAAGCAGATTCCTGCAATCGCCATGGTGCTGAAAGCCCAGACTTGTCACATGACGGTCATAACGTGACAGAGGGGCAGCAGGGAGGTTAGTTGGTAAACTTCAGCAGAGGTATTCAGTTTACAGTCAGATTTCTCCTTTTTAAATGCTTGTTTGCAATTTCTGTCATAGTTGTCAGAAAAAATTATAGCTCAGCAACCGAAAACTCCACGCAGACACTGCGGCTTTTTATGCTCTCTCAGATCTCAGACCGCCTCTGCTATTTTTGCACGCCGCCGTATTTATTTCAGTCATTCGATGTATTTATTTCAACTTTTGCCGTTTTATGTGACAGCGTGAGAGTTAAAAAAAAAAAAAAAAAAGGAAAGGATTCTCTGCATTTGGGACCAAACAAAGATTCCTCACATGTCCCGTCTCCGCTGCAGGGCTCGGCTTTGACAGAGATGCTAGTGTGCGCTGCTCACTCGTTCACTCGCAGTCTTTGCTTCAGAGGAGACGGAAGCTGAGGAGGCGGAGGACAGTCGCCGGTTTCCCCAGACAGGTGCAGCAGGATTTTGGTATGTATCTTCTTAGTTTGTCTGTTTTTTAACCTCATGTCATGTTGGATTTTTTTTATTATTATTTTTTATTTTAGTAATTATACCCTTTGAACTTCTTCTTGTTTTACAAATTGGGTTTCATGTGGACATTTCTGTGACAGCCCAATACAAAGTTGTGCATAATTGCGACGCAAGAGATGAAGCGTGTGCGGTTTTTAGGAATTTTTTCTGATTTTTACATAATTGTACAAATGTTTGAACCTCTTTGGATGTTGCCATTTTAACTTCAGGTTGCTTCTCGTCTTTATCAGCTTTGACCGCCCGAAGTCTGATTCAGTTGTTTCATACCAACGCAGTTCTGTCCCAGTTATGGGACAATACAGTACAAATTCAGTGGATAATGACAATTAAATGAAAAGAAACAGTTAGCTATTTATCTAAATTATTGACTAAAGGGGGCTGAATGAATGCCACCCTTTTCAAATTTTGCTAGGAAAAAAACAAAAGTGAAAAGTATGTGTCCATTTTCTTTCACTTCTCTAATATCAACTATTCTGTCTTGGTTTATCACACAAAGTCTTTGTTTATCACACAAATGTATCAAAGTTTGTGGGTTTAGCAAGACAAAATAACAGATTCATCTCCATAACATAAAAATATTTTTTATTAATTATCTTGAAGACACAGTACTGTATCCTTTGACTGACAGATTTATTTTTTTTGAAGTTCATACTTTAACACCACAGTTCACTGCAAACACACTAAATTGTACCTTTTTTTGTTTAGTTTGTATAGCAAATATCTTAGCGACAAAACTAATTTACATGTAACTTTTCTTCCAGGTAAATTTAAGTACCGGTATTTTGTTATAAGTAGAACTGGTACTTTTTTCAAAATACAAAAACTACTCTGTAAGATTTTGCATTTTCTTCATTTTTGCACTGTTGAAAAATTCAGAAAATAAAGTCTGGTTTTAAGAATCTGTAGCTGAAACTCTTTCAATCCTCCTTCCTCCTCCAGACTCTGATGACTCCCCTGGTTCCAGGGAGCGGACGGTCATTGTTCACACCACTGCCGATATAACTCCTTCCACTGAGGAGCTGGCCAGCCATCTGACCACCAGAGACTCGGGTTGCCAGACCGAAGACTTTTTGACGTCAGGAGCGCCGTGTCGGAGGAGGCTCCGGGTCCAGAGAGGTCAGGGCGTGTCACTCCTGCTCTCCCACTCGGCAGGCAACATCTCCTGCCTGCCCGACAGCGCTGACCCCATGTTCTCCAGTTCAGCGGAGGCCCGTTTGCGGTCGCGAAGTCTGCCCAGAGACAGCAGCAGGATGATGATGATCTTGATGGACGATGAGCGCAACGACAGCGACGAAGAGGAGGAGCTGGCACCCTTTGACTCCGAGGGTTTCCTTCCCGGGCGCAGAGAGAGGATCCTGAAGGAGGAAGAGGAGAGCGCCGACGACCGTGCCGTGACAGAGCGACAGCTGGGGGCGCTGAAATTTGCGCAACTGTCAGAGAGTCCAGAGTGCAGCTGGATGGAGCGGACCGGCGCTCAGCTGCCCAGGAAAGCCGACATGGGCAGCTGCGAGATCTCGTCCAGTTCGGACACCTTCAGCAGCCCCGTTCACTCCGTCTCAGCGGCGGGAGTGCTGGGCAGCCAATTGGACCATAAGGATGACCATCAGTCTTCCAGCGGGAACTGGAGTGGCAGCAGCTCCACCTGCCCCTCCCAGACCTCAGAAACTATCCCCCCCGCAGCGTCCCCTCCACTCACCGGCTCCTCGCACTGCGACTCTGAGTTGTCCCTCAATGCCGCCACTCACACCGCCGAAGACCAGACCAGCTTCCTGCTGGACAACTACCAGGGCCTCAGAAGCCAGCGAGCCGGCTCCTTCTCCTCAGCAGCTATGGATATATTAGAGGAGGCGGGAGTGAGTACGCCCATGGAGGGGGAGTGGGATTTCCCCAACACACAACCGTCTTCCTCTCAGGGGTTCAGCCCTGAACCGGGCAGGGAGGCCGAGAGCAGCCTGGGCTGCCCCAGCTTCACCAGCATGGCTACCTGCGAGAGCAGCTTCTCTGACAAGCCGCATCAGAGAAAGCAGACCGTCTCTTACTACTCTGTGGACACCGAAGGGTACTACACCTCCATGCACTTTGACTGCGGTTTAAAAGGCAGCAAAAGCTTCACCTACAACTATGCAACCCCTGGTTCCGATTACGGTTTGTCGGAGGTGAGCGGCCAGCTGACTATGGGGAGACGCTGCCTCTCCTTGAAAAAGTCAAAGGCCAAGCCCTCCCCACCAAAGAGGAGTTCCTCCTTGAGGAAGATATGCAGTGAGGAACACATCCCTGAAAAGAGAGAACCAAAGATTACCGGTATCTACAGACATCCAGCGTCTCTGTCCTCTAAAGAGCGGAGAATGCAGCTGGCTCTGTCTGGATCGCAAGGACTCCTGGAGAACTCCTCACTAGTGCGAGAGCCCCTCGAGGTCTGGGCGATGGAAGGCACGTCGGATCTGACGGATTTAGGCTTTTAAGCTCCAAAGACTCACATTCCTTTAAGGACAACGGCATTGTGCAGTCAGACTATGCAGATCTCTGGCTTCTAAACGATTTGAAGTCCAGTGATCCTTACCGATCGCTCAAACTCCAGCACAGCCACGGGTACGACTGTGATCGAGTGCATCAAGTCACAGGAGAGCTCCGAGTCCCAGACTTCCCAGTCTGGCTCCAGAGCCACCACCCCATCACTTCCATCAGTGGAGAGCGAGTTCAAGTTGACGTCTCCGGAGAAGCTGGCCGGACTGGCGAGCCCATCGAGCGGCTACTCCAGTCAGTCTGAAACCCCCACCTCCTCATTTCCCTCCACCTTCTTCCCTGGTCCTCTGTCCCCAGCAGCTGGGAAGAGGAAGCCCAAAGTCCCAGAGGAAGTCGTCTCTTTCCTCTCTGTCTCTGCAGGCACGCTCATCCAGAGACGTAGCGACCTCGAAGAAAGATCTGGAGCTGCCGATGATTCCTCCTTCTCACCTCGACTTAAGTGCCCTTCACAGTTCAAGCAATAAAGACTCGGCTTACGGGAAGCAGTTACCAAACCTTCTCCAGATCAAGCAAAAAGATGCACCAACTGCCAAAGCTGTCACATCTCCAAACTTGGAGTCCTTCACTGCCCACACTCTGTCTATAACACCCTCAGTTCTTCAAAAAGTGCAGCTGCGGTCCATCAGCAAGCAGCCTGAAGACCTGCATGAGAACAAAGCGGCCTCGAGACTCCAGTGTCTGTCTGAGAACTCAACCAGCAGTCGATCGCTAGCTCTCACGAGTCCCTCACTGCACAATTCTCATAACCATCATGTTTCATCAACGACTCAATCCATGCCTCAAATGAAGATCTTTCAATGGCGAAAAGCAAGGGCACAGAGGTATTATCAGGAGCACGACAGCTGTCGGACTGCGGTCAGAACCGTGTTTGGAGGGTTCAAACGTCCCCAAGACGTTGACTGTTCACGAAGCAGAGCAGCGCTCAGAGTCGCCGGTAACAGCCGTCTGCTCCGGAGTCTGTCTCACACGTACTCTTCGGGTCAGCAGCAGACCGAACCGGCCGAAGTGGAAACGTGTCCTTGCCCTCCAGTTTTACACAGCTCACCCAAGAGGTCCAACGGTGTGGACAAAGTTCCTGCAGCTGACAGTCCTCTGGAGACGTCAGGAGAGCTCCATCAGCAGCGAAGGGAGAACGACTCATCGGGGGTTTCAGCCGAAAGTGCCTCACCGGACAGGAAAGAGGAATCCACAGAGGACGCAGACGATTGCTTTAGCAAAGGCAGGTTCTTCACTATAAACTATTATCTACTCCAGATTTGACACATGGATCATTTTAATACAAATAAAAGCATAGAAATAATAAAGAAAAAACCCATGTAACACAGATGCTATATGTTGAAATCCAAATTTGTCGTTTTTTTAGTTTTGTAAAAAAACATTTTTTATAATTTCCCAGGTTTCTTTACTCTGCTAAGCTATTCTTTTACTTAATTATTTACACTTAAACCATTACATTTACTCTTTATGTCTAAACAGAACCTGTTAATATTGTACATATTAAATTTTACCTCAATAGCAATAAAGGAATTTCAAAAAATATATATATATTTTTACATATTATGGAGTTGTTACAATCTGCTAATCGTACTTTTAAAAGTTTTTTTTTCATCTTTTATTTTTGCAGACTACACAGAAAGCGACAACTCTGCGTCGTCGCAGCTCGAGGAGTCAAGAAAGAGGATGACAGTGTGTTTCTGTCACCCACCAAGTCCCGCACCACTGAGGATCTGTTCGCCATGATTCACAGGTGAGCTTTTGGACAGACGGCGTCTCAGTCCGTTCACACAAAGTGTCTCATAGTTGTCCGTGGCGACGGTTCGATCCTCGCTCCGTCGTGTTTTTTGACCAGCTGCTATATTCCGCTGAGCCCATATAAAACCAGTGAGGTCACGCGCCGAAGCTTCAGCTCCCCCTGCTGGAGAGAATTAAAAAGCCTGCTCTCTGACGATCACTGTCAGTAGTTTTAGTTGTCAGCATAATGCACTAGATCTTAGATATATGCATAATACATGATAAAAGAAGAAGGAAAAACAGGGTGCTTTGCTGCTAATTCACTAGCAAGGACCACATTAAACAACGTTTTAAGGATTTAATGTAGGAAGGGGTGAAGAAGACGGGATGTTGGGATGAATGAGTTTGGCCTGGTCATCCGGGGATGGGAGATGAAGACTCGGCGTGGGGGTATAGGTCTTCGGGAAATTTGTTCCACTTATTTTCCCGAGCGTGCATAGATGGCAACGGCAGCAAGAAAGAGTAAAGCTTGGTTGTGAGATGGAAGGACAAAAAAGGGGAAGAGGTCATGGGATGGAGAGGTAAAAGAGGTGGAGGATAAAAATATACCTCCAGGTTTCATTTTGTTAACAAAACTGATTATAGACGACATATAAAAGAACAGTCTTTTTCCCCCCCAGCAGTAAATTTCCAGACGTAAACAATAACATGTCTATAGAGCTCTGATTTCATGTCAATTAATTTCATCCGTAGATCCAAAAGGAAAGTGTTGGGGAGGAAAGACTCCACCGAGCTGGCTGCAAGGCCCCGCCTCAGCGCCTCATCAGGCAACACCCCGCCACCCAGCAGCACCGTCACCTCCCCCTGGTCCCTGCGGCGTCCCCCTCCTCCTCCCCCGCTGTGACCCCGCCCGCCCCACACAGAGTCTTGGGGTCCATCTACAGGAACGCAAAGAAGTCCAGCACCTCCAACGAGGAGTTCAAGCAGCTGCTGCTTAAAAAGGGGAGCCGCTCGGACTCCAGCTACCGCATGTCGGCTGCTGAGATCCTGAAGAGCCCCGTCACGCCGAAGTCGCCGGGAGACCTTCTGACCGAGTCGCCCAGACAGCCGGAGGAGGCCCCCTCCCCACTGCAGCAACTCCTGTTGGACCAAGAGCAGCTGTCCAGCCCGTACCCCAAAGCCAACGCAGAGAGCTTCTCTCCGAGACCCTTCCTCGCGTCTGCCGCATCCAGGCAGGGCCGCTCGAGAGTCCCGCCGCCCGCCAGCAGCAGCCGCTACAGCGTGCGCAGCAGGCTGTACTCCACGCCCATGCAGGCCATCTCCGAGGGCGAGACGGAGAACTCGGACGGAAGCCCTCACGATGACCGCTCCACGTAGGACACGGAGCACGGCGGAAATAAATCTATACGTTTACAAAGACGACAGATGGACCACCATGAAATATCATATATCAAACATGCACAAGGCAGGGGAGCAGATTAAATCATTTTAATTGTTGACAAAAATAATAAAAGTCAATCAGATTCCTCGCAAATTTTTGGGATGAATTTTAAAAAAAAAAATTGTATTTCAGTCCACAAAATGTACCACTTTTTACAAACTATTTTTTAAAATAAAGCCCTGTTATTATAAAATGCCTTTATAAAAAAACCAAAAAAATAATAGAAACATCCGAAACCCAAATATGCATTCTGCCCAATTTAACTCTTAATGTTCAGATTATAGACGCACCGATCGAAGTATCCTATAGTCTTTGTAAACCGTGCCAACACAGACTGTCTTCTACTGCGATTTTTCTACCGAATGGCTGTTTTTCAATAAAGTTAGCACAACTAGGATGACGTAGCTCTGCGTATCCCTTGATAGATTTTTGCGAAAAGCTGCCAGCATTTCAAAGTTTGCTCTATGACTGGCAGAGGTGGAAAAACTCAGAGTTAAAACCAGAGCAACCTGGATCCTGTTTAGCCTTCTTGCTCTCTGCAGACACGTCTCAACATTAAATAACTCCCCATCTCAGCGATTCACCTGATGTCCCTAATAATGTGTTTGAACAGCTAATGTTGAGCCTTCTTCTGACAGTGACAACTTCCACACCGAAGAGTGGTTGTCAGCGGGACGGGTCAGGGCTTACGTTTGATTATCGATCGTCTCTAGTTGTACAGGGATATTTTGTTTGAAGACAGGTCAAGCCTTCGTCTCGGGACAGCACACGCGCTTCGTCTTTTCTGTTCTGTTGACAGATTTAAAAAGAAAAAAAAAAAACATAATAGTTGACCTTCATTTTGTATCCTATAGATGCAGATTTTTACCTTTTATGTATGTATTCTGTGAATACCTGTGCAAGAACAGACACAAAGCTTTCCTCAAGCCTCTTTATCTTTCCCGCCAATCGGCACGTCACAATTAGCTTCAGAGGAATTATCCCTCAGTCTTTTCATTCATGTTGTCAGCAACAGCAGTTAGAATACTTTAACTCCAGACAAGGACCTAAATGACGTAAGGCAGCTACTTGTTAATAATACTTCAGTCATCATAGCGAGGCGGAACGGTCTAAACCAAGCGACGATCTCTGGAGACGGGAAAGACGCAGGTGTTATCACGGGAACACGAAAAAGTGCTCAAAAAGTCCGAGGCGGTGGAAGCGCAGCGTGGAAAGATACAACGAGAAGGTCATGTGTTTAAAGAGCAGTAGTCGTTTGTGGCTGAAGACGCGGCATGTTTGTGAATAGTCGAAAGAGGCGATGGGAAAGTGCTCAGTAGGATCGAATATGCCTTACTGTACTCGACAGGAAACAATACGTGACAAAACGTTTTTCCCCGGGGGAGGAGGATTTTTCATGGTTTCGAACCAGAGGATGTAAAAATGCTTGGCCGGGTCATCAAGAATGGCAAGAATCTGTTAGATTCTGGAGCATTTGCTGCTGTCATGTGCCAAATGTTCCTTGATGACGCCATACGGCCATAAAATAAATATCTTCTGTGTGGTTAACAACTTAAACATTGTTTTTTAATCAGACGGATGGCCCCTGTTTAGTTTTTTTTTTTCCCTTCTTCTTTTAACAAACTAAAGGTAACATTTTAACAATGAACTGCTGGAAATTTTTAAAAACATATTTGAATACCTACTTCCATTTTGAAAGACAGTTTTAGTTTTTCTGTTTTCTGATTTCCTGGTATCGCATTTTGATACGTTATGATATAAGCAATAGATGATTCAAAGAGCTATTTCAAAGCGCTATAAGCTATGCCCAACCTATGCAAAGCTGACAGAATCTGTGTCAGTGAGGATAGATTTGTGGCCTTAATGACACTCCCGTACGCGGCCCCAGCCACAGGGAACTCAGTGAGATTAGCCTCTCAACTTTCATTCCACCTAACCGCCCCGCCCCCTTTTTTGCACTGACAAAGTGATGTTTGTGAGGTTTCTTTTGTCCCTTGCTGCGTGCCGTACCTGGAGATATTCATCGACCCTTCCACTCAGCTGTAGAAATAACTCTTCCTGAATAAGTTTTGTCGTGATGTAAGACTGGAGTTGTGCAGATGCTTCTGCCAAAAGGCCACAGGACCTGTTTGGAGTGTTGGACTGTGCTTTTCTCTTGTTACTTGACCGAAATGTTCTTGAAATCACAAAACAGTACTAAACAAAAGAGAGTCACAGCTTATGGCACTAGATTAATTAACAAAAAAAAAAAAAAAAAAAGAAAAAAGAAATGGGACATGAAATGAACCTATACAAACAGTACTGTATGTGTTTTTTTCTCTTTTCTTTCTTCCTCTCTTTCTTTTTTGTGTACAAAACTGTAAATACACAAACTGTTCAGAACGATCACAAAGGCTATCTAATTGTCTCTAATGTAAAAAATGATAATAATAATAATAATAATGTTTTCAGAGTTTACATTGATTTCAGACCTTTGTATATTTTTGAGTTGTGGAACACTTTGTCTTGTATTTATTTTTTAGTAAGCATCGAGGACATCCCATAGAAAATCTTTATCTACTGCTGAAGCACAACGGGCTGCTTAGCGAAACGTGTATGAACAGACAAATAAATGTGACTGCTTTGGAAATACAGCCTGGAGTGTGAGTGGTCAGTTCCAGGCCGCGGGAGGTCAGCTCATCCTGTCGCTAACTATTACCGACATCTTGCCATTTCATCCCTTCCTCCTGTTATTTTGCTGACATCCTGAACCTAAAGCTACAGTGCGTGGGTTTTACAAAAATACAATGTTTTTTTTTTTTTAAAACAAATATTGTTAATGAACAGGTGTGTTTAAAGAGGACACACCAGGAAGTTCCAGTTTTTAAAACGTTCATATTTTCCCCTTTCCGCGGTTTCTACCAAAACAAAACCGACTGATATTAATAACTTTGGAGGAAATGTAAATCTTCTGGTCCCAGGAAGGATGAAACTGAATCGCGCTTCGCCCCAGCAGAACGCTAGAGGGCGCACTTCACATGAAACCTCAGCATTGTTTTCCAGCTGTGATTCAATGCAAATTGATCAGGTTTTCTTTTTGGTCTCCGTTGCCTTAATATTATTATTTTTTTCTCATTTTTAAACGTTGAAACACGTTCCTCTCCGCGGAAGACCTTCGTTTCTTTCTGCACACGTTTTTTCCGTGTTCCTGCTGCGCAGCTGGGACAGAAAATACCCATTGTTGTTCTGGCTGATGTCAAGGAGGCCTTGGGATGGACAAAAAAAAAAAAAAAGCCTTGTTCACTGGGTCCTTGCATGTCAGCTAAGATTGAGAGGAGGGGGGCGGGAACAGGCTGTAGTGGTGGAGGAATTAAAGGTTATTTCTGCTCTCATGACGAACCATCATGAAATGTTCAAATACAAACGTATTTGAACATTTGGAGCTTCCTTCTGGAGACATGCTGCAGTGGTTGGTGCCCCAATTGAACCGTCAGGCTCAGCAGATGTGTCGGTGGTAATCCAGTGTAATAACGACAGCCTGTGTGCGTTTTGATCATTTTCGTGTGTTTGATCGCTGAGGCGAGGGGGCAGAAAGGGTTCGCCGGTCATTCCCTACATGCAGATGTAAAGAGATGTTTGGAGATTAATTGATAGGAATTCGAATTTTCATACGTCATCGTGGATAGATTTTCTTCTTTTTTGCAGCAAAGCAATTTGGCAGCAATTCCGAGGCCAGGTTGTCTCCTTCAATCTGCTCATTCTGCGTCCGACTCTTAATTGGCTTTCTTGGTTACGTTGAATTATTGAAATTTGAGGAAATAAGACATACAGGGTGGTCAAAGGTCAACCAGAAAAAAAAACAGCCTGGCAGCCCCTCCTCATGCTGGTCACCTGCTTGGTCACTCGCTGAGGACAAATCTGTGACATAAAGCTGAGCGATCACTGACTCCGAACTGACTTTTCTATTCATCTTTCAGTTTGATCAACAAGCAAAGTAGAACAATGGTGAACTTTATTTGAATTCTTAGGGATAATTTCTGTGAGGGACAAAACATTCATTGCTACACAATGCAAATCATAGTTTTTGTTGTTGTTGTTATTTTATTGCTTCTTTGCAAGGTTATTAATCAAAAAGGCTAAAAAAACAAACATCACTCCATAAAAATTTTTTTAAAAACATGCAAATGACATTTTTTTCTGATTTATAGTTTAAAGATGTGTATCCAAAAAAAAAAAAACACACGTCACTTTTTCTGCAGCACTAACAGTTGTTCGCTTCTCATTAAGTTGTCCATAAAATTCCGCTTTGAGAAAACATGAGGGAAGGTCAGCGGGTCGGTGTTGAGTCCTGACTGTTGGAGTCAGACTGGAGATTCTCCAGTATGTAGCCGAGACGGCCTGCAGGTCACTGCACCGAATTTATCGTGTCATGAAAAAGTTTCCCACCCTCAAAAAAGAAAACGCCTCAATGATCCCAGCTGGTCATACAAATGATAATATCAGGCAAAGACAATAGGAGTAAATGTAACGTCTTCCACTTTGATTTTCTCGAGGGAAAACAATCTACCCAAACCAATAATGTGAAAAAGCAATTCCTCCTCCTCACTAAATCAGGAACAAAACAGCAATTAACTACATTTCTGGCTCAATTTCTTCTCTCCACACACAGGCTTGATTGCTACCAGACCCTGAAGAATGAAGACGTCTCCGGACATACGTACACGCTCGTCTGTGGAGTGGACTGAAAGATCTCAACAGGCACCATCACATTGTGACCAGATCTAAAGAAATTCAAGAACAGATGAGAAACGAGCTCAATCTGTCGAGAAAGAGCCACAAAGCCATTAAGGCTTTGGAACTCCAAGGAAGCCAAACGAGAGTCATTATCCACATATGGAGAAAATATGAGGAGTGGTTGGTCTACCAAATGCATTTCAAGTGCATACCAACCTCTTCAATTTAACTTGTGAGAATCTGGGCTTGTGATTCTAAGAGGAGAAGAAAAAAAACCCAAACTGGGAAAAAGTGCGAGAATGTCCAGTGATGTTCAGTATGTGAACTTCAGCTCAGGCGTGCTTGTGATATGCAGTTGGAAGATCCACAAAGTCCAAACCTTAAGTACCAAAGAAAAGGACAAAATTGCAGCTTTGGACTGATCTAGTCCGGATTCAAATCTTCTCGAGGTGATCTTGCGTGACCTGAAACAATTAATTTAGGCTCCGGGAAAGTAAAGACATTTCCAGTAATTGGAAAACGACTGATGGGAGCTGCAGTTGCCAAGCGCGGCGCGGCCACTTTTCAGGTTGAAGGAGTGATTATTTTCACTCCTTGGGCCAGATTGTTTTGGATAGCTTTCTCTCCTCAATAAATGAAATGAACTGTGTGCATGTTCAATCAAATCTTCTCGGCCTGAAGCGTCTCCTCAGCCCCCCGCTTTTTGCTCAAAGAAAACCTTGAAACAGCAGAGAATGTGAACAACACATTCAGCGCATACCTGAGACGTGTGTCTTCAGCTGAGTGATGCTGACTCCATAAAGCGATTGGGGGGGATGTAGCCACACCAAAGTCACCGATGTGCCACCCGGGTATACCACGCAGCTCATTATAGTGTATTAGACAGCGTCCCTGTGGAACGGTGAGAGGCCCCGGGGCCCCCGAGGCAGGGCCCGAGGCTGGCTGGAAACCGATACGGAAACCCAGGGGATCTCGCTCACTCTGGCTGATCATCACCAGACTTGCGTCATCAGCTGCCAAACGGCACGGAGCAGAGAAATGAAGGAGTCACAACCGAGCTGAGGTCTTTCTGAACCTCGAGCAAACATGCTGTTAGCTTGAAGCGCTTCAAATGGCTCTAACTAATCCGGCATGGTTTCCCTGCAGCTTGTTTTCATTAGTGCACAGTGGATTTATATATAGCTGAGTCACAACACAGACTGCCGCACATATTTTCTTATCATGTCCTGATGACAACAAAAGGCATTGATGCTTACTATTGGGAATACATGGTTATCAACCTCTGAATAATATGAAGTAGAGAATGATTTATCACACACCAATCAGGTATTATGACCAGTCAAGAGAATAAAAAAGATTATCCCTTTATTGGGTGGGACGTGGCAGCAAGGGAGCGTTTGTTTCCTCTAAGCTTATGTGTTAAAACGCAACACAAAATGGGGAAGCAGGTAGGAAAGGGGCCAGAGTGAAAACGCAATTAATGACTGGATCAATGCATCTCCAAAACCGGAGCTCGTGTGTCGCGTCCCTGGTCTACAGTGGTCAACATCTCAAAAAGAAGAAATGGTGAACCGGCGGCAGAGCCCTGGGCAGCTGAGGATCCGTTGAGGTAAACGGGGGGTGAAGGCTGGTCCAACCAACAGATGAGCTGCAGCAGCAGGAGAGTTTTCTTGTGAACTTTCACTTCCTGATAGAAAGTCCCAGAATACACAGTGTTTCTCCGGGTGTTGTGTGTGTGGCACAGACCAGTTATTGGTGACTGTTGTTTATTTGTTTGTGTTACAATAGTTTTTGTGTTTAGTTTTTCTTTTTTTTTTTGCTTGCAGGAAAACGTCATCTGTTGAAACCCCCAGTTTAATTGGAGGAGGCCCGTATTTGGTTTGTTACTTATGCTTTAAAGGATTACGGTATATTTACTGTCCACTTAAATGAAAAATGCACAAGTGTTGAAATTAACGCCATTTATCATGGGGGAGGAAAGATGATTCCTCCACAAATGGTGAAGGAAAAGTATGCTTGAAAGAACAGCAGCAACATATTGAAATTAGAAAAAAGTTACATAATTATGCCGTTAGTTATTATTATTATTATTGTTGTTGTTGTTGTTCTTGTTGTTATTATTATTATTGTTGTTGTTGTTCTTGTTGTTATTATTATTATTATTATTATTATTTATAGTTGTCCTTTAGGCCCTACCTTCATTATTCTCCTCTCTTTGTGGAGTGCAGAGGGGAGGAGGGAGGGGGGAGCCGCTGACGATGCTGCGCGCGCAGCTTCAGTCTGGAGTCGCTACGACGGAGCCGCAATGAAGAGATAAATAGCGACGATATCTATTTATTTTTTGGAGTGTCGCGGCTCTAATTTCTTAGTTAATTGGAGTGAAGCGGTCCGAGGCGGAAGGCTTCATGTTCTCCTCTGTTTAGCGGGTGAGTTTCCGCCGACGGTTGGAGCAAAACTGTCATTTGGAGGCAAAATGACACGAGAGGGGGGATAAGATGAAAGCTATGGCTTTTCTGGTTTGGTGTCTCTGGCAGGCTGTAATAGGAACTGACATTAGCATTTTCTACTGAACAATAGTTACCAGGCTAATGCCGTATTGTGTAGCTTTGAAGCGCTAACACGGCTCCGTTCATTTCGCTGTTTCAGACGGTGCGGACAGCTAGCTTGAAATAAGGCGTACAGTGTTTGACGGCTGAGAGGGAGAGGAGGGAGGGCTGCACTCAATAACGCGGCTATTATTATTCAGGACGGAGACAACCTTGTCTTTGATATAACGCGTAAAGTCAGCGGAGCCTCACAGCGACGAGCGGAGATGTGCGCAGACACGGCGCTCCGTCTGCCCTGCTTTTCAAGAGCAGCCGTCGGCTTACGGACCAGACGCACCAGGGTACCGGGTTCAGACGCACCAGGGTACCGGGTTCAAACGCACCAAGGACAGGGTTCAGACGCACCAGGGTACCGGATTCAAACGCACCAAGGACAGGGTTCAGACGCGCCAGAGTACCGGGTTGAGACTCACCCGGGAACCGGGTTGAGACGCACCAGGGAACCGGGCTCAGGGTTGTCTGTGTCTCAGGGAAATTGGAGCTTTCGTCGCTCAGAGGGAGAGGAAATAAGTCGGGGTCTGTCGCAACAAGCCAGCTTTGGGGTTTGCTGTGTTCATGTTCTGATAAACTACAGTCACATGGCTGGAAAGAAAACAGCACATCCAGGCACCTTCTTTGTTGACTTTGTCACGACACAGCCACTAATTTCAGTGTGTCTTAACTGTGACGTTGTGCACTAAGGACAGAATAGTTTCTGTCCTATTTACACTGATACCAGGAATGGAAAGAGTATAACGATAAGAACTGTAGCTAGATCCCCACACTTGCACTCCAGACATCTGACCTTACAGCATAATGGTGGCAGTGTCATGATGTGGGGAAACCTTGACAGAGAGTAAGATGAAGCTAAATACCAAAGAAAATCTGTTTGGTTCACCTTCCAGCAGGGCAATGGCCTAAATAAAATCACAATCTGACTAATTGTCAAAATGCAAAAGAAGAATTCTATAATGGTCATTCAAGTCAACACCAACTGTATATACAGTATTAAAATAATATACAAACATTTCAAAATGTTTTTCTAAAAAAAAAGGCAAATATAACTGTTTCATCTCGCAAGTTTGGCTTTCAAGATACGTAGCAGAACAGGAAGTTAAATTAGAAGGGAAGCCAAGTGGACTGGTCAGAAAATATGGAAATACCGAACACTTTAAGGTGATTGGTCAGATTTGCGGAAACGTGGCGAAAATTGGAAGTCCGTGCAAAATATCTGAATTAACGTTAACAAATTTGATCGCCACTTCCTGTAGGGACTGCTTCATATGTAAAGTATTATTTATCCTTTTAAAAAAAGAAAAAATGTGTGCAGTCGTAGGCCTGAATGACACGATGATGGTCATTTCAGTTGTTTTAAACGGAGGTGTTAAGTGATTATCATAGAACTGAAGTCGCCGTGGCATTTAGAGGATCAACCCGGGGAGAAATGAATAAAACATAATCTGGGCTGATGTGAAAGGAGATGGGAGTCCGCCTGTCTCTCTAATGAGGGATAATTGGCTAGTGGAGCGGAGGGGCCGTTGATGGAGGTGACCTTTAGATCGTCTGCCGTCCTCCGGCCATCTCCGCTGCTTTTGTTTCCTCTGGCTCAACTCAAGCACAAAGCCGGAGAGAGGTCTGTCAGAGAAGAAGCTCTCAGACTGCAGCGTGAGCCTAATGCAGCCGAAGCTGAAATTAGTGGGAGAAGGGGAAGCGGGACGGACGGGCAGGGGGGGGAGGCCGGGTTGTTGTTTTCTTCCTGCTCTTGACTTGCCAATGGCGTACATTTCATCAATGAGGCGAGGAGAAAGGAGGAAAAAAAGGGAAGAAAAAGAGAAAATGTGGAAATGATTACAGTAAAGGGGACATGGGAGGGATCTCATTTGGCTCTCTGTTTGGTCTCTTCTGGCCTATTTACTCATTTAGCTGCCTCTGGCATAGGAACACAGACCGCCTGCGGATGACGTGTGAGGTTTACGAACAAAATGTGCCGCTGATTTACACCGCGCTAAAGGAACACTCTGCAATCACTCAAACGTTTTTGACTCCAGGTTCGTCTGGCGTTGCGTGCTTGCGCCATTAGCTCACGTTTTTAATTGAAGCCGCATCACACTCGGACTGTTTGAAACAGCCCGACCTGCAAACCCGGCTATCGTGCGGCGACAGGGGGAAGACTTGTTCCAACAGCACATCGGATTTAGGGGAAGATTAGGAACTCGTCTTGGAGCTTTTCGGGGAAATAAAGTTAGGTTGAGCTCAGAGACGGCGCACATGGGCCAGTTTGCTCTTTTCTTAGCGACAATCCTTGTTTGTTCTGACAAGCAGGACAGGAAAGACAACATGTAAAACGAGGCCTTGCACAGTAACAAATTATACTGGATGATAAATTGCTCCAGAAATTATCGCAATGAACGATGATATTGTTGTTTTGAGATCATTTTCAAGTACTGATATTGGCATACTCATGCAAGTTTGCCCTCTCAAAGACAGAACAAACACATTTTAAATACCCCAAATAAATAGATGAAACAATCACAAACAATAATTAAAAGGGAAATTAAAACCACAAACACCAGAAACCATAAATGAGACAGATTATGAGGACTCTGTAAACTGCATTGTTTTTCAAACGATGTTAGTCATCAGAATGGGAATCGATGAGCTCATTTTATTGTGCGATTATTTGCTTATTGCTAGCACAACTTTGAGTGTATTTCATTGGAATTTTACGTGGTATATCCTGTGAGGTCGAAGAAAAATCATAAATATTAGACACAAACACACACATATATATAATTAAAATCCAATCTCATCATTTGTGTGAAAACCTCAGAGGTTTGGTAAAAGTCTTTTTGAACAAGTAGGATATGTTAGGAAACAAGCTGCACAGCTCAGGTGTAAAGTTACCCACCACCAAACAGGTTAGCAGCAGCATCTCTCTGGGAGCTTTACTTTTGCCCTGTATTAGGTTTCTAATAATAGGTTTTGGATAATAGAAAAAAAAAAATCGGCACATTCTGTGGTCTTTTTTCACTTGAGCCTATTTTGCACAATATTAAAAATACAGAGAAATAAATTATTCAATTAATTTTAGATAAGGACATACATGTTTTATTACCTAAAATGCAATCACATAGCATTCCTTTGGTGAATCTGATAATTTGTAACAAATAATGCATCTTCAAACAAAAAGAAAATACATCTTATTTGTAGATGCCGCATGTGAAAAGCTCAGTCCTTTCTTCTTGACTTAGCATGAGTACAGTCTTGTTGGTTATTATTATTATTTTTTGATTAATCTATTAATAATTGGACAGTAAAAGATTATTGATAGAAACTTCATTTGAAGAACTGCTAAAATCATGTCACTCGAGGAGGAATATATTTACAAAGAAGTTTGGTTTTTTTTTCACATGAAATGTAAAATGTATTTGTACAGATTTTGCTTAATTACTTGTTCTGATGGTTTTCTTTCAGGATGTGTACTCTAGTTAACCATTGATTAATTGCTGAATCAGTTCACGATTAATTTGATTAATTCTTTCAGGCATACGAAAAGTACAAATAAAGTTGGTCGTTGAAACATGACAAAATGTGAAAGGTTTATAGGGGTGTATTAGTTCTTTGCAGGGTGCTGTAAATAACGCTCATGTCACATCTTTGATCCTCCCTATCTGAGACAACATTGACACAAAGAGAAGGCAGCGAGGTGGATAATGTGATAGGGGGGAAGCGATGAGCACAGCCTCTCTGTGTACTTTGGATCGCTGGAGCAAGCTGGTTAGACTTCCTACTTTGAGTTTGACATTGTTCTCACATGATTCAAGAGACTAGAGGTAAAGCAGTGACCTGTGAACAGACCCGAGGAGAGGGAGAGGGTGGGGGGGGGTGATAACGTGTCACTCGGATGGCGATTACTTTTTAGCATCAGGTCATGTGATCTGGACTAATGCTAACACAGCTTTTAAATTCTCTCATAGCTGACTTATCTGAGCCTGAACACGTTTTAGAAAGAGGCTTATGTTTATTTCCTCTCTGTCTTCATTCTGGAGAAAGGCTTCTTTCTTGGGCTTTATCGTGTCAAAGGCCTCATGACCGTCTTATCAAGCAGGAAATATGTTGCCTGAAATTTCCTGGAATGCATGCGAGGCCAGGGCATCTAAAATAATGGAGGGAGGAAGTGTTTCCGTTTCATATTCCTAAATTAGATCCAGTTTTATTCTGCGTCTGTGTTGTTTTGTGTCTTTGATGAAAAGGGTAAAATGAAAGTGATGAATGAACAATAAAAGGGTCTTGCTTATGGATTTTATTCAGCAAAAGTGTGGTTCCTTGAGTCAACAGTCTGTCCTTTTGGCCTTGGCTGAGATCCCATGACTTGCACAATGAGTGAGGACATTATGAGGACAAAGCAGAGAGTGTGGCACATAAGTCTGTTAGTTGCATGTGTCCTGCCATGACAAGCTGGCTCATCATTCATACATTTTTTTAATAATCCTCAACTACAAGTTTTGTCTTGACAGTGTTTAAAAGAAAAGCTTTGAACATGCAGAGCATTGTTAATTTTTTTTTTTAATACTCATACGCCATAACATTTTAGATTTCTCAATGATGGATGTGTAAAGCTTTATATTTTTCTTTATAACCTGCTTTTGAAACTTTTTTATCTTGTTCGATTAATGTAACTCAGATGATTCATTGGTTTCATCCTACAGCAGACATCAGGGGGCTCTGTGCTTATGATAAATCAAAATACAAAATAAATTACTTGCATACCTTTTGCTCTATTTGACTATATATTTTAGACCAGATCATCATTTAAGTGATCAAGAAAAGAGACAAAAGATTAAAAAGAGGAAACCACTGTATTTGTAGTACTCTGACTAAACATGAACAAAAGACTTTGTTGAAGATGAAGTGCTACCAACACCTCCGGTACTTTCATATCAGCTAGAAATCTGTCCACCAGAGTTAAAACATTTACCAAGAAAAGATCAAAACTAAAACCTGACCCAGTTCCGATCAATACTTTTATCGGAAGCAGGAGCTGATATCTCAGTTCCTGCTGTGTTTTAACACTCTTATCCCACAGTGTGTGCTTTGTCTCACTACATGGCACCGCTCCACAACACGTCCTGCCTGCGCCGACTCATCCTCCGTCCGTCCCCCCAGTAATAATAAAACGTCCCTTGGGTGCTTGGAGAGATGATCACTCCAATATCAGGAGAGTCAATTATTCATACAGATGGGCACAAGCAGGATAATGTTCTGCTCTGGAGGGAAAAAAAGGGGATGGGAAAAGTTTGATGTTTGCGACACATGCCAACATAGGCAGTACCTTTATAGCGAATAACTGCGTTAAATACACCCACACAGTTTCAATTTTCTAATAAAACCGTGACCCTTCTCTTCCTCCGTGCAGCTTTCATGTAGTGTCGTGTTGCCTCAGTGAGCAGTGAGGAGTAGGCATGTTTCCCTTAGGCTGGTTTTATATTGTTCTGTAGCATAGATGAGACATTGTAATAAGGCTCTGATGGATTACTCTGGAAGCAGATGGTGGCTCGGTCATCTTGTCCTGCATTCATGCGTGGAAACATCCCTAAGCATGCTTTAACACAACCCAGTAAAAGCCTTTTGAAAGTTTTCACACCCTCAAACGTGTAGTTGCAGTAGAGCTGCAACTAATGATTATTTTAGTAATAGATTATTCTGGAAATGTATCTATTATTAGGTTAAAAAAAAGTCTTGGCACATTTAGCAGATTTTTTTTTATTTAACTACTAATTTTAAACAATATTTGAAATACTTTAAGAAATGCAATTAAATTATATAAAGAAAACAGGACAATCTATAAGAGCAAGAAGTGTTTTTTTATCACAATAAAGGGATATTTAAAATGTTCTAGAATAAATATTTCTAAGGAGAAAAACTCAACATTTTGATAACTTTTAATCTCTCATCCCTGGACTCCTGACTGACTGAAGGTGAAAACAGTAGGTTAAAATCCCTTGGAGGAGTTTGTTACCGTTTGAGGGGAGTAAGAGGATAAATGACCAAATATTGCCCTTTGACCCAAAATGGCTGTTGCTGTATATTTTAGGACAAAGTATTAAGAAACTTTTTTTCTTGATTTGAGAGGCACGCAGATCTACTTACATACCAAATTCCAGATCTCGACAAAGTACTGTTCAGCCTATCTCAGTTTAGGGGACGGTGTAGAGCAGTTTGACCACACCCAATTTGACATTAAAATGTTTGATTTGTCAGGATTTCGAGTCAATTGTGGAACTCTTATCCCTACTGTGTGCTAATCTTTGGATAAATGTTGAAACTGGGTCACTTTTTGTAGCAGTCAGTAATGTCCTGGCATACTTCTTGGTGGATGTCTGACCACTCTTTCTCTGGATGCTGGTCAAGTTCATGTAAATTGGGTGATTTCCTGCCATAGACTCAACACAATCCACAATAGGGGCCATTACAGTAGAGCTTAATACTTGTCTGCTTTGTCTGTTCTAAAACCAGTTTTAAGTTGTGTTTTGGTATCGTTCTCTCCTTGGGACACAAAAGTGAAAAGTTAGAAAGTTCAACCAGGAGCCACCCAGGGGGAAGTCTACCACTAAATGAAAATCACCAGCATAATGCTCACAGTGAAGCAAGTTTAGCGTTGTCCGTTTCCCTGGTGCGTTGCCAAACAATGTATGGGAGTGTGAGGGGCCTCTAAAGTTTTCATCTGAACAGCTAGGTGGTTGAAAGTTTGACATTTGTAAGAACTTGTGTTCCAAATCGACAATGACCCAAAACACACACCAAACCACGGGGTATTGGAATAAAACTTTGAGCTTTGCTAGCTTAAAGTTAGACTAAGTCTATGCCCGGAAACAAGTCCATTTAAATTTAACGGGATTTCCAAAAAGAAATGGGGTCAAATATGTAGTCAGAATTATGCCAATCATCGACAACAAAACTACAAAACCGTGTGGAAGATAGGCATTTTGTTAAGGGACATCCATCCAAATTATTACTGAGAGTAAATGTATATGTATTTGAACATTTATGTATGTATGATTTTGCTCCAGTGTGGATTAGAGACAATCCACACTGGATTGTCTCTAGTTTGTGGAAACTCACTGTGAGTTTCCACAATGAACTACTGACAGAACAGAAGCAGTTCTGAAGCTCTGCTCATGATCATCAAACATTCAGGTTTTTGTGTTTCTGTATTAGCAGGAAGAACTAACTTCATGATATTTTTCACCTTTTCAGACCATCATGGAAGGCAACGACGATGTGCGTCAGAACACTGTGCAGAATGATGCTGAGGAGGGAAGAGGGGAAGTCCTTGGTAAAGTGGAAGACGGAGCAAACCCTCTTGCCGGTGACTCTTGTGACGGCAGCGTGACTAAAGGAGGGCTCTCTAACCATGTAGAGGATCCTTCGCCATCGGTGGTCGGTCCTGCCACCGAGTCTCCTGGAGGAGTGGCCTTGAAAGTGGCCACCACTGTCCTCCACCCGGTGTGTCTGGGAGAGAGTTCGCTGATGCTGCCCATCCACCTCCAGATGGCCGGAGCGTCCGCGCCTCAGCTTGGACAAATAGGGGCGGCGCCGTTTTTGATAGCAGGGCAAAGCCCGGTGTCACTCCCATTGGTCCTGGACCAGCAGGTCATCCAGCACATGAATCCCACCATCATCCCTCAAACTGCCTCCTGTGCGCAGCTGCCCCTCCAGAACAATGTCCTGTGTCAGAATCCTATTTCGTTTGGTTTGCCTCCAGCTATCGATCCGAAGGCAGCTGGACAGACACAGGAAGCTAACCTGCTGTCCCTCCTGCAAAATCCGGCGTTTGCAGCCATCCTGCAGGATCTTTTCCCACTCCAGACAGGATCTTCTGCCTGTCAGTCCCCAGGCTCTGCCTTTTTCCCCCTTCCTCCTCTCACACCTCCCTACACATCGCCTTTGGCTCCACTGGTTCCACCTGCCACTCTCTTAGTCCCCTATCCTGTGATCATTCCCCTCCCAGTGCCTCTGCCCGTCCCTCTCCCCATTCCGATCCCCATTGCTCAAAGTGAGGACTCGAAAGGGAGCATGCCAAAACCAGTTTGCACTGTGAATAAAAGCACTCAGACGTCACCAAGAGATACTACCTCTCCCTCTTTATCGTCAAAGAAGTGCTCGCCTCATCCCCAGCCACAGAACACGTCCGTGTCCTCACCGCCTCTAGAGGAAGGACAGGTCCTGGACCTCTCCGTCCGGACGTGCCCGATTGAACCAAAACAGGAATATCCCAGTCCTCACCAGGACAACGTGCTTGATCTGTCCGTGCCCGGTGTCAGAAAAAAGTGTGTCCAGTCAGAGAGGAAAGAAGCTTTAGAGTCTGGCCAAAGCGCCACCAATGCCGCGTTGTCTCTGGGCGTTGAATGCTCGCCGGGATTAGATTCCAAACTCCTGGGCAGCTTGACCTCGCTGGAGTTCAGCCGGCAACACAAGTGGCTGGTCGACACCGGCGTCGCTGGATCCAGCTCTCTGAGCCAAGAGGCATCTCTTGGCGGAGCCGGGAACCTGGAGATAGTCAGCACGTCGCAGACGGCCAAGGTCATCGTCTCCGTGAAGGACGCCATTCCTGCCATCTTGTGTGGGAAAATCAAAGGCCTTTCAGGGGTCTCCACCAAGAACTTCTCCATCAAACGGGATGGCAGCCAGGGGGCCTCCCTGCAGCAACTCTACGCCGTGCCGTCATCGTCTCACGGGGAGCAAGACCCCAACAACCCCCATAAAAAGGTCACTAAAAACAGAGCCATCAAGCTAAAGAAGGTCAGCTCCCAGGAGATCCACTTCCTCCCAATTAAGAAGCAGAGACTTGCTGCGCTGCTGCCTAGGAAGTGAGAGGGCTCCCAGGAGGGAGGAGAGGGGAGATTAATGGCCGCATGGCTCCCCTTTCTCTCCCGATAGTATAATATGACACTCACATGAGGGGCATTCTGCACTGAAAATCAAACATTCATCTGTCCAATCAGAGAGCAGCTTTTTGCTCAGAAAGCAAAGCTCTTTGTGAGATATTACATTTCTCTGAACTGCTGTTTTTCCTTTGGTAATGTGTGAGAATACATTACCAAAGGATTTGCGATATTATACTGACATGTGTTGTGTACGGCAGCTTCACTCACTCATTGTGTGCGACTCAGTAAACGGGAGACGTCGATTTTGTAACACGTCACATATAAACCCAAACAATCGCTTTCAGGACACGGCTCCCATGCCTCCGTCCAAAGCTTTCCGCTCCACATGCAGGTTTTTCACAGAAGTGCACTGAGAACCTGAAGAAGAAGGAAAAAAAAGCGTCTGCTGGGCTGACCAAGACTGTTCAAACATGTCACTGGAAATTCCCGCTGACATCAAAGCTCACTGGAGCAAAGCGCTCCTTCCTGATTGGTCGGGGTGATTAACACGAGAGGCTAATGAAGACTTAGCAAAGACCGCAGCCATCGATTCATTGGACGATTGATGGCCAACAGCTGACAGTCGCAAAGCAAAATGGCTCCTTGTTTTCCTGAAAAGCAAAGGCTCTTGGAATGGTTTTCACTTTTAATCCGCGAGTTGATCGGAACGTAGAAAAAATGAACGGGGTGGGAAAAAGAGCTGCTTTTGTTGTCGAACGTGTTTCCTAAAACAATGGCCTTTTTTTGCCAGGAGATTTTGGCAACAAAGTAACTTTGAAAAGATAATTTAAAAAAAATCACTTTTGACATAAAAACAAAAAAAACAACAAACTTGACTTAGGCCCTTATTTTAAGAAGGTGATGATAAATTGTACAATTGAAAAAAATAAAAAAATTTGAAAAGTGCGGCATGCAGATATCTTAAGTCACAACTTGTTGAAAACTTTTAAGCCCTTTTTGTCCCCAGTTTTGGCCTGTATTAATCTTAATTTGTCCCCCTATTAACCTCTGACCAGCTTCCCAGTCCCATCACCACATCAAGATGCCGCCACCACCGTGTTTTATGGTGGGGAATGTATGTTCAGATTAACAAACACAGTACGTTTGTTAATCACCATGTAAATCTTACTTGCATTTCACAATTTTGCGTTTATTTGTGTTGGTTTATCTAATAAAACCCCACTAAAAGCAAATCGAAGATGGCGGTTTTAACTCGATAAAACGTGGAACATTTCAAGGAGTTTGAATACGTTGCAGATACTGTAGCCAAAGCTGATAAAATGCCTCACAGCGTACATGTAAAAGCCTGCAACACCTGACTGTTTGTTAACTTATTTATTTAACCTCCACAGCACGGAAAGTTTCCGTTACATTAGTGGAGAAAGAAAGAAAGAAAAAAAAAACTACGTGTTTGTTTTGTATGTGACTCGTCCGTTATTAGTATTGATCTGACAACATCCTGCTTTCTTTTACCCAACATGTTGTGTAAAAGTTGCTTTTTCTTTCTTTTTGTGTTGTTGTTTCTCTCGGTGGTAAGGACCAGAGTTGTGAATGTGGAGCTTGTCGTTGATTTGAGTGCACTTTGTGATGGATTTTTAGTTGGAAAGACTCCCGGGCCGCTTCGCCGAAACGTCACCCTGGTCGTTTATGAGTTCAAGGGGTTGTGTGAAACGGGACGAGCAGCAGGCCAAGAACTAACAGCAGCCACATGCAGACTGTCTGGATGAGCTGAGATGGAAAATACCTTGAAGCTCCACGTTTCTTTTTTTTTTTTTTCCGTTTCTCTATATTTATGACTCCGTTCCTCAGCAATCCCAGAATATCTGACGCCAGAAGAGAAACAATCTCTTTACATGGACTGGATCTGCCTCTAATTTATGATTTGTGCACCTTTTTATTTATGCAAATGTGTGTGTGTGCTGTTTTTTTTTTTGTTTGTTTTTCAAAACCCCTGAAGTGAGGGATTATCAGCAGCATTTTTATGTCAGTCTCCTCATGGCTGCAGTTTAAACAAAATAATAATAATAAGGGTGAAGAATCAAATGTGGAAATGTGTATTTAATTATTTGCTATGTGTCGTTCGTGTGTGAGCTTTTGTGTTTTTATATGAGAGCAAACTAAATTTTTCAAGCCCAGATCAGTGTGTCGACTTGATTCTTTCTTTAGGATTTCTCCTCACTTCACCTGCCAACATGCCACGCTTTCCCAGACCCACATGTCCCTTGTTCATTTATGTTGGAACAAAAATATATTATATATAAAAAAAGAAAGTTATATGTAGCAGAATGAGCAATAAATACAGGAGGTGATGTCGGAATATTTTCTCATGTTAATGAAAAGTAAAAAGTTCATAGCAGGAGAGTGTTTAGAAGAATCTCAGCTGTTACCTTCGTCCAGGAATGTGTCAGAGTTAAACAGAACGTCAGGCCAGACGGAGAGGGAGAGTTAAAAAAAAAAAAAGACCCAGAGAAAACATAAACACTTGAAATAACAGCAAGAATAATCAGAGAGCAGATGCGACTCATTGAAATTCAGCTTATTTTTGGCTTTCGGAGCACATTAGATAGATGCAAACTCTCCTCTAGAAGATTCTCTGCAAAATGTTCTTAACATGGAACATGATGCCTCACTGCAAGGGACGAAGAGAAGCAGGTAGAAAACATCGCAAAAAAAAAATTTTTTTTTTTAAATCCCACTTTTGTGTCAAAAGGTTTGGACATGAATGCTTTAGTTGAGATAGACGGGAGATAGATGTACTCAAAGGCATCGTCTCTTAGCAACGGTTTCCATCAAAGCAACGTGTGCAGCTATAATTGTTTTGCACCGTAATGGCCTCACAGTTGTCATGGTGATAACAGCTGACGTCAGACACCTCCAGTTTAGTACGAGCATCAAGCTGAGCGATTGGAGGATTTCTCAAGCATGAATCAAAGCAACGCTGCAGGTATGTTGTTGATGAAGGCATGACGTTATAACATGACGTAAATCTCAACAACGTCCATTTCACATAATACTGCTTCTTTAGTCTCCCGCGGCAACCACTCAGCTGTGCAAAACCCCTGGCTGGTCCTCGCCCCGCCTCCAAAGAGGAAGCTCCTCCTCTGAGCTGTCATTTTCAAGAGCTCCCATCTCACAGAGCAGCACTCCTCCACCACCCTCCCATTCTGCTCCTTCAGACTAGCCAGCAGCTCTTAGCAAACAGCTGGTGGAACTGAGCATCTGCTGAGCTCATTAAACGAGCTACTTGTCAGAGAAACGCTGGTATGAACATTGATAAGGGGTAAATAGCGGAGCCATGTTGTGACGACTTCCTGAAGGCAGAGTTTCAGAAAAGAGGAGTTTTTAAAGAGACAGAGGCCCAATTTGAATATGAAGACGTTAAACTACATAGTTAAATTTCTTTTAAGAGATATACACACATCTCTCTCTCTCTCTCTCTCTCTCTATATATATATATATATGTATATAGCACAGAGGGACTAAAGTTATCAAAATCCTCATGTTTTGTGCCAGATCTTAAACTTTGACTCTACACTAAAAAAGAATTTAAATTATGACAACTCCAACAATGGTGACCTTTGACCCAAGCCCACCTCGTGACAGCAGGAAGTGTAACATTTTGTTTTGAAAAGGTCCTAATTTGATCCTCTTGATCTAATTAACATAATACAACTTTGAAGCATTAGACATGATGGATATTAATCCAACACTTAAAAGATGTTTATACTAAAGTTTGTTGAGCGTGGTGCAAGTCGTCCACAGCGCCCTCTACCAGCAGTAAAATGGGAAACCCCAAGTCATGCCATAACTGAGGATTGTGAAATTCAGTACACATATGTAATTTCGTAAGACCTACAAAAAAGTCTCTTGAAACCATGGTCCAAACCTCTTAGGAAGTCGGCCATTTTGGTCCAAAGCCGCCACTTACTTACGGTATAGCTAACCAAACTCATCTGAGTTTGGTATTGATTCCCAATTCCTTAAGTCCTTGCAGGCTTAAGGAATTAGCAATCAAAAAGTTGATCAATAAAAATTTAACCTTGTGTCGTATTCTTGCTTAAAAAAATTAAATAAAATCATAATTCCTTCCATCATAAAGAATGATTTATAAACCCAAAATCAAAGACATCCAAACTGAGACACAGTAAATCAAAGTCTTCCCCTTTCTGAACATCCCTCATTAGTCAAAACAATCCCCTTTAGCTATTAAAAACACATGCAGCTTCATGGTTGTAATTTCTTTATAGAAAAGGAAAAAAAAAAATTACACATCGTAAACATATAAAGTGATGTTTTGCAAAACAGATTTTTTTTCAAGTACTTTAAAGAAGATGGGAGAAGGAAAATCGACAGCACTTCCGTCCTGCGTTGAATATAATATGGCACAAGTTTTAAAGTGGGGGGGGGAATGGGTAACAGGAGAAAAAAAATTTAATAGGTGTATTATAAACATTATGCTACAAGTGTTTCTACTAACAAAGACCACATGAACCTGAGAAATGTCATAGATAAAGCAAGGCAGGATCTAGAACTGGAAGAAAGTGAACTAAAAGCACTGCGTTAAGTATTTATATATATATATAAAAAGACTGGAAACCACTGTTAAATACTCATCCCCCATCCCTTTTTTTTAGCTTCACATTTCTATCTTATGCATATGATTTCCTTAAAATATTACGTTTCTACAAAATGTACATTCTGTTGCTGATATTTATGGTTAAACCCATAAAACTGTTCAGATCTGTATACATAGCTAACAGTGATTGTTGTGGTCAACAGTAAAAACACTGAGGTTTCAGGCAGACCAACAAGCTTACATGAATCATGACCGATTAAAAACACACACATACTCACACACACAAAGAGCAATACTTAACATAAGAAGCCCTTAGAAATGTCTCAAATCTGCATCCTTAAAACATTCTGCTTATTGAAACGGATAAACCAAAGCTTGCGACTTAAAAGGGTTTGACACTGAAGAACATGAAAAAGGTAGAGATGCTCCGAGAAATCCCGGTGACCGGGGTCAACGCGCTGATCTTTTCTCTGAGAACACGCCGTTGTTGTTGAGAACGACACTCTTCGGTGTGCAGGCCGGTGTCGAGTGAAGAAGAGAAGGCTGTTAGCGGTGAGGCGCTTGAAATCAAGTCAGAGGAAGCACAGAAGTTCGAGACTCATTTCAAGCGAAACGGCATCGTCAACATGCTGTCACATGAGCGTCGGGCTGCGGTGGAGCGAGAGAGAGCGAGACTTTCAGGAAACAGATTAAGGCTACATTCTCATAGGCGTATGTGGTAGAGGGGAGCGGATCGATACTAAATATTGGTACAAAGTCGATATCAGTATCGCATCGATACTTTAGTTTCAGATTCCCTCTCGAAATTAGATTTTTGTTTCGGAGTTCCTCAATTCTAACCAAAAAGATTTGCTCTCAAATTATAATTTCTTGCAGTTTGTTGATATAGAAAACAAACATTTGTTCTGTTCTTCCGTTGTTTTTATGTTGTTTCTGTTTGTCATGTAAATATGTCATTGAAGTATTTTAATCACCTACACACTGTCAAAAATAATTTGGCCCTAACTTTAAGCAAAAATAATTCAAAGAAAAAAATCAAAAATGCATAAAGAAGGACAGAAGTTTGATTATTTCTATATATATATATAGAAATCCTAGTAAGGTATTCTATACCTTATGTAGACATTTAATTGCCATTTATATCTGCAATTTTGAAATGAGGTTTGTGTTTTTCTAAAACAAAAACTGCTAACAAACAACTGATTTCCCTTTATAAATTACATAAATTTACTGGAGTATGTGGGATGTGATGGTGAATGATGACGCTTTCGTCAACAACCGATAACGTTTTCGTCTTGATCAGTTCTCAACTGATACAAAACCGCCCTGCAGTGACATCGGCCACTTCTCATGTGAAAGCAACATAATCCGTTTCAGCCTTCGACTGTTCTGCGACGGAATAATTTGGATTTGTAGAAGTTGGCATTTTGGAAAGCTCATATCTAAGGTACAAACATACCGTTGTTTCAGGTCACGCTCACTAAAGGAATTTTAAAGTTAAACTTCCTGTTGTACAGCAACTGCTCTCTCACACACATGGTGTGACGTCGCCTCTAACATAAATAGCTTATAAGCAGGGACTGTAGAACGGTTTGGTATATTATACAAAATAGAGACATTGGCCAGTGGATTCTGATCGGAGCATCTTTACCAATGAGGCAACTTCAAACCCGCTAAGACACAATAATATAGGTAATGATTCCAAAACCATCCAGCGCAGTTAAAAATAAAAATAAGATCATGTTATTCCTGGCAATGACACTGACAGTCTGTGAAAATGTCTGTCTGCACATCCTTCAGGCAGATGATATACTTTCAGGCAGATAAGTAGGGAATGACAATAACTAACGAAACAGTACAGAAAAGAGCAAAGAAATTCTCTTCTGGAGTATGAAGAACATTTTCATGTTTGCTTTTTGTTTTTCTCAGTATTCCAATCCTTTCTCATTAGGCAGAAATTCGACAGTGATAATAATAATAATAATAATAATAAAAAAACATTCTCCATCTTTGGGGATCCAAAAATCAGGATCAAAATATTTCAGCTCCTTTAAAAAAGAACAAAAACAGGGGAAGAAAGTCGTCCTTGTGTGCTCGTGTTTGACGCAACGTAAACACTACAGGGGTCACTCTTGCTTTGGGATTTCTTAGAAGTCAGCGTTTGTTTATTAGACTTGAACAGCTTTTCATTCGCCGATGAGGTGGAGGATGAGGTAATGCGTCAGCGATGCACGGCACACTTTTTAAAAGTTCTTCTCCGCCCCCCCCACCCTTGCTCTGGAAGTCGCATTGAAGTCGTAACATGGAAATTGCCCCCTCTCCTCCAGAAGGAGTCTAGTGTAACATGTAACCCCTGCGTGGCCCCATGAGTCAGGATCCAGAACCGCTGGCTCTTTCTGGGCTTATTGCTCACCGGTCTGACAGACCAGGCTCCTCTCTTTACAGTTTGCCTTGTTTCAGCCGCTCTATGTGATGGCAGAGCTTCAGAGCCGGCCCCAGTTTCAGACCCATGTACTTCATGATCATGTCGCTCCGTAGGAGCATCAAAGCCTTTCCGTCGATCTCCTAGAGAAACAAAAAGGGAAGACTTGTTACCGGCGAAGACGAACCGTCGCGCAGGCTCCCAGAGTTTCTTTCAGCTAACTTACGTGTTTCCTGAATAGTTCTGCGTGAGGCGCCAACGCCGTGGGGTCGGCGTCCCGGACGAACTGCATCACCTCCTCAATGGACCAGGAGGAAGGGTTTTTACTGGGCAGCTGCACGTTCTCTCGATCCATCGATTCGGAACCGGTGGTGGAGCTAGCTGCTGCCGAAGAACACACACACACACACACACACACACACACACACACACACACACACACACACACACACACACACACACACACACACACACACACACACACACACACACAGAGTACATGTTGCGTTCTTGCAGAACAACATCTGAACAAATTTTGCTGGGCGATTAATTACCCCAGACATTATTGGGATGAACGACAATACCGTCGGTTGAGAGACAATTGTTAATTACTGGCACAAAAACGGCACGACAGTGCATGTATCAACTCATTCCTAAAGAACATTTAACACAGGAACTGGAAGACAACTTTAAATAATCAAAATAAATAAGCAAACCAAAAACAAAAAAGATGGTTTTTGTAATGTCTGTAAACAAACATGTTCTGAGTGCTGGCTTTAAAGGGCAGCATGCTGTGTTTGCAGCTGCGCTGCCATTGCAAACGTGTGCAAATCTTTGTCTGTGCTCTGCTAATGTGGGGGGAAAACAATACATAATTTTGCGATTGCTGTTTCCATAATATAAGAAGTGAAATCAAAGTCTTGCATAAGTAAGTGGGCTTGCTCATTAAAAGCCACGGCAGTGACGGTACGTATGCAGCGTTTTGGGGAAATCGGAGATTTCACAGAAGAGTTATGAATTCGACACGTTTGAATGATGCCCAATGTTTTATGAACCGTGATGCTGCGAGAGCTCTGGTGGAACCAGCTGCACATTGTCCAAAAAACAACAACAACAAACAAACAAACAAAATCATCCACCCAACACTTCCTGTCATCTTCTTCATTGTTTCTGCCTGTAGCAACATCTGGCTGTTGATCACATGACTGATGACATAAAAAAAGTGTTTCCATTGCAGTTTTATTAAATACTGTTTACATGGCTGAAAGATCACTTTGTCGTCTTATTAAATGTCATGACCTTTTTTGAAATTGTCATGTTTCCATTTGGCGAATTTATTTTCATATTTTCAATTTGCACAATTTTATGGTTGATGGAAACACAGCTACTGTCTACCATTTTGGCCTTTTTGTATTTTGTTGATTAAACAAAATAGACCATCATTGCTCTGTCCACAGACTCGTTCTGAGGAAGCTCTTTCTCCGTGTGTTAGATTGCCCCCCACGGTTTGTCGCTTCCTGCGTGTTGAGCCCGTCACTAAGAAAACGAGGAGGGGAGGAGCAACTTGTTGCACCGGAGTGAAGCTTTCAGTCATCAAGTCTCTTTGGTAAAAAGAGAGAGAGACGCGACAAAAACAAACAAGCACGCGGCTCAAAATGATCGGCTTCACTTGGATTATTCATGCGTCCTGTTGATTTACTGCTCATCGTGACGTGTCTGCGTGTGAAGCAGCGACGGGACTCGTGGCGTACCTTCGACTCGCCTGAGAGGCTGCGTCGAGCTGAGCTCCGCCGAGTTCGACGAGTGGCGGCGCATGGCGGCGCCGCCGCCGTGATGGTAGAGGCTGCTGGCCTGAGGGTGGTACTCGGAGGAGCTCCGCGCCGTTTGGGGTCGGGGGGTCATGGAGTTGGAAGCCGAGTCCATGTATCGCTGCTCCTTGATGTGGCCGTTCTCTTCGTGCGGCAGAGTCTCTGCTGAAAGGGGGGAAAACATGAAGAGGTTTTCACTTTAAAACCGTCGGCCTTTTAACGGTGTTTGGTTTCAGCCCGCACGTGCTTCTAATCCTGAAACTACACGCAGAGGCAGAGCCGCTCCCGAAATAGAGCTACTGAGCAGAAACAGCGGCTCTCTGCACTGACACTTTAACGAGGAATGACACACGCATTTATGAGGGAATCTACATTTAGGTAAATTACAGACAAAGCAAGTACCAGAGCTGTTTGCGTCACATAGGTTGCGTGGGGAGAAAAAAAGATGTCTGGCGAAATGTTACTGCAGAAGAAAACAGCAGATTTTTCACTTGATCTGTCCTGGTCTATGATCAGCTGGTCAGCCTGTCGCAGTAAGCAGTTCCTCTCATAATAAATTAAAACGAGCTTGATCATTTCCACCCTGACAATTCAGATTTTTGAAGAGCGACTTTGTTTCCACAGATTTTATCGATCGTTTGGGTTGTGTGAGGTTTTTATTTCCTTTTTGATTTTGGTTGTCATGTTTCATTGGACATCCAGTCACAATGTGGAGCATTCTGAACAAAATTAAAGTTCATTGGTCTTTGAGAGGACAAGCTTGATCACGCCGTTATCAATGTATTACTTGAAAATGATCTTGAAATGATAACACTATTGATTATCACAATAATTAGTGGGACAATTTATTGTCCAGCATAATTTGATGTCGTGACAACCTAAAACTCTACCGCGTCACAGTGATAGCAACAGTCTTCGGTGTAGAAGTCTTAACTCAGTAAAAAAACTACAAAGTTAGCTATTTTCAGAATCGGCTTGTTTTTTTTTTATATTGCCAATACCGATACTGATTAAGTATATCGTTAAACTTCTGGCATTGAAGCGTTATTGTGTTTTTTTTTTTTTTTTTTTTGCAGAATTATTTTGTTAAAACCTAAGAAACAATTTATAAAGATAGAAAAACAATTCAAATTTTTACAGTAGAGTTGGAAAACTACAATACCAAAATAAAATAAAAACTTCAACAGAGGTCAAGGAACAAAAGTAGAAATCTTACCATGCTAGTATACAACGATATTTTGGATCGATCTGCCCATCTCTAGTTTTTCTACAAACAGGAAGGCTGAACATATTCGAGAAAAGTTGCTCAGTTTAATCATTCTGATCTTCCACTCTGAACATGGTGAAAGGCTGACGGGCTTTTAAATGAATACATTGGAAATGCTAACAGCACTTAATGCTAACAGAAGTTTTTTATTTGCCCATTCTTTGTTAATGAAAATAAAAAACTGAAATATTTTTCAGAGTTTCAATGGTGAGAATTGGCTGCATCAGCTGGACTTGATGGTGGGTTTTGCTTGCAGCTGTCCTTACAGCAACCTGCTTTGAGAATTCAGCAGAAATAAAGCAAACAGAAAATGCTAAATCCTAGCAGTTTGCAGTATTTCCTGGATTTCTTCTAGGTTTATTAATAAAGTGAAACAAAAATAAATTGAAATATGAGCGGTACCTTCAGATGGGTGAGCCTCGGCTCGTAAAAGTTTGGGGGAGAGAGGAGCGGCGTACGGAGGAGAGACCCCTGAGAGGCTGCGTTTACCGCCCCGGGCCAGAGAGGGAACATCAAGCGCCTCTTCTTTCACTGGAAGCCAAAACATTTTAGAAAAAAATCATTTTATGAACAGCGCAAGACCGCCGCATACAGCTCGGCTGATTAACTTACCAGACTTGTTCCTGTCATAGGCGGCGTAGTGGCTGAATGGCTGGCTGCTGAACAGGTTGTCACACTGAAGGTGACGGCACATGCTCTCTAGGAAGCGTAACACGAAGGAAGCACTGGAGGCGGCCGGTAGTTTGATCACACGGACACCGCCGTCTGTTCTCACTTTGAAGACATTTTCATGTTAAAAGTCATTAAATATGCTCCCTTTCTTCCCCTCTCCATGACACAAAACCTTATCTGTGTTGATTTATTTTATTTTTTTTTACCTTTGACAGCTTCGCCTCCCCCCGAGTCGCTCTGCAGAGCGCTGAGGAGGACTTTTGGCTGGTAGGCACAGTCTATACATGACTGGACCACTTGTTGGAGCACGGCGTTCACTGGCCCCGGCCCAAAGTGGTCCGGAAGGCGCTGCATCTGCTTCCTGTCCAAGTGGGGGCCGCAGTTCCCGTGCTTATTCACGTACACGCATACTGAGGGCGGGACAGGAACACAAAGAGGCGCATTGAACGGATCGGGACCGGCTGAGCGGAGTCTTTAAGTCGAAGCTGAACGTCCAGTGGCAGCGCTGGGAAGCAAAAGACGGTGCAGCCGTACCTGTTGAAACCACCGAGTTGAGGCAGGGAGGGTTTTCTTGTGGAACCTGGATGCTTGGCAGCTGTGTCTCGCTCTGCAGAAGCTTGGACTTTCGCTACAAAAACAATGGAAATAATTTAGAATTCAAATAAATTGTTGGAATTGTAGAATAGGGTATTTATTATTTACACACATTTAAGACTTTTTAATGCCACTTTGAATAAAATTGAAGACCGAGATAAGTATAAATATAGGAGATGATTGGGGGATCCTGATGTATTACAATAGAGGATAGCAACAGTTATGAAAATTCTGTCGTCTCTTGTTCTTCTCACATTGCATGTGTAATCTCTACAGCCGTAACACGTTGTGACCTAGCTTAAAAGTTGTTTTTTTGTACAGAATACATCTATCCTCATGTGGATGGCAAAAGTAATGAGCAAGAGTCGGAAGCAAACATCACTGATCAATGAATTTAAGCCTAAGGATCGACACATGGATGGTGACGACACAGATGAGGTGATTGCGGTTTTTCTCACCTTACTTCCTAATTTGGGTCCTCTTTTCTTGTGAACCCGGGGCACCAGCGGCGTGTCGTCAGGAACGGCTCCGTTGTGGGAAGCCGCGGCCTCCGCCACGGCTTTGAGCAGGGCGAGCGTCTCGCTCTTGGGCCGACGGCCTCTCACCCCCTTCCTCACGGGCAGAGCGGGCAGAGTGGGGTATCTGTAGGGCAACTGCGTGGAGCGCCTGCTGGGTTTGGAAGGCGACGACGGCAGAATCTGCAGGTTCTTCGGAAGAGTGACTGAAAGCACAGCGGAGAGAGACGAACATGAGGAAAGAGGGCCAACGCTTTTATTTCTCTGTTTTGGTCACAGAAGAAAAAAAACTTTCAATTATTAACTATAAAACAAAAGTGAAGACAGATTTGCTATATATTGTAGAAAAAAAATACATGTACTTTTTTCAGTTTCAGTAGAATATTTCTTTTTAAATATTAGGCCTAAATTTTCATTTGATGAACCTACAAATTCCTCTAAGTTCATATTTAGTTTGTCTGATTTTGACCCCATTTCAGACATAGTTTGGAACTGTACTGTTGTGAAACTCTGAAAACTTAAAGATAGTTACATTAAGAAATTATCTGGAAACAAAACCAACAATTCATTTTGCTATTGTTTACCCCAAACACTTCTATGATTTAGTGAACAGAACTTTTCTTTCGTTGTGGCTTTTTTCTGAGCAGAACGTCGTAACAGAAATATAAAACCTTTCAGTGAGGATCGCAAATCTTGATCTATTTTGTCGGAGAGTCTTCTGCTGTCTGAGACACGGCGAAATAGACACAGGGCAGACCTGCTTTAAAGTAAACAGGTGAAATGTGAACCACATAAATTCTCCTCCTGCTCCATCCCACCCAGACAGCCACACTAACATACCGACAGTAAGCGGTGCATCGCTTCTGCACATCAATTCTCTTAGCTCAGTGCTTGTGATTCGCCTTTGTGACTCTTTTGAAAGAGTCAAAAAGACAAAAACTGATGTGAAAATGGTTAGAAATGAGAGTTTGATGTGTCAAAAAAAAAACAAAGCTGCAAAAGCAGATTTAATAAAACATAAACAACTTAAAAAGCAGAATGAAATAGGGAAATGAATCATTTTCCCACATTTTACCAGACATTTAAAAGACTGTAAAGGAACTCGATGGGAAGGACTGAATCAAACACTGTTTGCAAACAACTTCTTCCCACCACCATCTGACGCAAATATCTGCTGCCACCTAGAGTCCAAAACTCACCACTGTTGCCTGGTGGCTGGAGGCTGTGCTTGGTGAGGGAGCACCAACCCACGGGGAAGATGTCCCTGGAGTCGTACTTGCACCAGTAATCAAAGGCCCCCCTCCAGCCGTCGAACATGATAAACACCTCATCGCCTCTCACTTCTCCGATGGTGGCGGGGCAGATGAGGTACGGGTTCTTCTTGTCCACCGCCTCCAGCTTCATTCCTGGCTTGAAGCCGTTTTGAGGCGGTCTCAGAGGCTCCTATGAAACAAAATTAGAGTTCAAAACGTTGGCGTGCCGCTGTAATTTTAGAGCATTTAAGGAGTCGGTGCAAACCTTTTTGAAGGCTGTTACTGGTGCCATCTCTGCTCCGTTCAGGGTTCTCAACAGGAACATGGGCCAGGAGGAGGCATTCATTCGAAATCCTTCGGGAGAGAAGAAGAACCTCAGACACGAGCAGGAAGCTCGTGTCTTAGTGATGCGTCGCGGTATCGGGCTTACCCAGCGGCGGCTGCAGCATGTCTCCGTTCTTTTCGCAGGTGCCGATAGGCTGGATGTCGGACGAGTCCACCAGCCTCCAGAAGTCGTTGCTGTTGTCGCTGCCGTCCAGGCGGAGACGGAGACGAACCCCGGTTAAGCCCATCACCGTGGCGATACAAACCGAGGTGGAATTGCGAGGGTCATGAGCCTCGAGCTTCATGCCCACTTTGAAGTCGTTGGAGGGAGGGACTCTAGCCTGCAGACACGGTGTTATAGGTTTAGGACATTTTATACCTCAGGCGGAAGAAGTGCAGTTTAGGTTAACAGTATAAAGTCACCTACATAAATAATACATCAATCTCACCTTAGTGTGTTAAGTAAGTGTAATATAACTTTGATAACTTACTTTTTTGTTTTTCAAGCCAGGGCTCTGACATATTTATCCAGTTTTTTTTAAACATTCTGCTCTAAATTTCAGCTCTAATATTTTAATACAATAATACTTTTTCAATTCCAATATGATACCAATATAATAGCTTTGAGTATTGGCCCTGAGAATGAAACTATAACACTAAACAACCTCTGGGATGTACATACTATTCATTCTAACTACATTCTATCCAACTATAAGTAAAACATAATTATCAATCAACTGTTTTGCATATAAAACTTGACAGAAATATTCACCCATGGTGAGTTAAGGATCTGCTGTTGGTTTGAAATGTCGTTTCACTGTATGAAACAAACTCCAGGAGATTTCTTTCACTGCTTCAGGCAACAGGTTGAATGTCGGGCAATAAATTCCTCCTAACAGGGCTGCATGTAGCCCCACATCATTAGCTGTATAATACTGTCAGTGTGTCACACAGTAGCAGCAGCCAATACATTCATCGGAAATAAAAGACAAAGACTGGATGGTTTTTGTCGGCGCAATTCTCAATTTAAAACTTTTAGAAAATGTTAAAACAAAAGACTGAAAACAGCAAATTACACCTCGTGAAGTGAAACCTGGACATATTCAGGACGGTTAGGGACTAAACTTTATACACTGGCTCCCTGTAGCTCAGAGAATAGATTTTGAAATACTTCTGTTAGTTTCTGAATGCCTTAGCACCACAACATATTAAACCTCCAGCAGGCAATTTGACCTCACAGGTTTTTCACACCAAGGTTACACTGATCCCGCGTCCGCTTTTAGAAGGGTTTTTCTGTGTGGTTTTTGGAACTGACGTTCTGACAGGACAACATCCTCCTTTCCTGATATCCAACCGTGACATCTGCTGCGCTCCTCCTGAGCATCATGCTAACACTTTGCTGGAGAGTTAAGGATCTGCTGTTGTTATATCACAGCACTGCCACACCACTCAGATGTTCTGGTTCTGGTTCCGCTCTGCATCCCCAGAACCAGAAACAAACATAGAGAAGCAGCATTCAGTTTTTACACTCCACAAATCTGGAACAAACTTCCAGAAAACTGCGAAACTGCCAAAACACTGAGTTGCTTTAAATCACCTACAGTTGTCACTCGTCAATAAGTTTGGAGTATATTTGCTTGATGATTGTGGAGCTAGCTTTTGACAAAATGTGATGCTTATTTCTTGTTTTATAATTAGTTTCTATTTGATGTTTTTTATGATGCAAAGAACTTTGAACTGTCTTGTTCCTCAAAAATGTTACACAAATAATCTTGACTCGGCTATTAAATGTAATGCTTTGTAAGGCATTTAAGTCATTGAAGCAATTTTTCTAGACTAAGCTCAATATTTATAGACATAAAATAATATAGAGCCAAATCAAAAGCCTTCCAAGACACAATTATCATAATTTCATGGATTCATATGGGTCCCTTCATAGTTCAGCCGTTTCTGTGTTCTGGTGAAACGTTTCAAAGAAAACTTGTTGAAACTGACCTGCTTTGGTGTAGTTTCCCCCCACCACTTGTTTCAGGCAATTTTCTATTATCATCTTGTAGAAAAATGTGTTTACATGACACCAATAATACATGCTAGCAGCAGGTCACACAGTTGGTTTGGTCTGTTATGTTTACTATCTCCCACAATTTACCAAAATTACTACAAAGAGGAATGAAAACTAAATGCAATAGGTAACTACATGAGGACTAAATTGTTTTTGTTACAGATAAGAAATGGGGATGTGAATTTAGTGAGGAGCCAATAAAATCTGCAGCTTTTTGAACTGTCTTGTTGACAGACGGTTTTCCAAAGATTAAACTTCGGCTTCAATAAAACTTACCTGACGAAAGCAGCCTGCTGGCGCCGGAGTGGACGATGTTTCCTTCAGGTATTCTTCCCAGCTGAACGCATCTAGATGAAAAAAGTCAAAGTGCTGACGGTAATAACAGCTGAAACAACCAAAATAAAACATTGATAGTCCACAAAAGATTGCACTTAATGGCTTTTTTTAACGGAATGGTTCAGATTTCATTCTAAAATTTAGAGGCTAAGATGCTTCCCCACATTAAATTTTTTTGAATAAATGACACACTAGAATTCCCGTATTATTTTAATTATGAAAAATGCACTTTCTGGTTAATAATAAATATATATTAAAAGAAAAGGGGGGAAAACAAATGAAATAATGCTTCCGCAATTTTATGCTGTATGCTATCTATATCTCACTCAGCTTCATGACAGGGGTGTGTTCATTCTGCTCATGTTTCAGGTAAGTGATTATAAAAAAATCGCCGCACCATAACCTGTGCAGAAAAAACACATCTACTATTAGATGTGTTTTAACGCAAGAAAACAGATGTTTGCCACGTAATATTTAAAAGAGCCTGAATAAATAAACACATTAAAATGAAGCAAAATCGAGTTGGAAGTAAGAGACAGAGAGACATCAAATCTAATAATCAAATATCAGAACAAATCGAACAATCAAATGTTACCTTTAGTTGCTGCAGGGGTTGCACCTGGCAGTGGGAGCGGCTTTCCCAGTTTCTCTTTCTTGCCCTCTTTCTGATCTGAATATAGGAAGTGCAAAAAGAAATGGCAAGAGTTAGAATAAAATGTGTAAAATATCAATTTCAATGGATTAACCAATCAGACAATGTTATATAATCCTAAACTTGAAGATTTTGTTGATAAAAAAACAACTAATTCTAATATGTGAAAACACTGATATGAATACAAAGCACACACAGACATTTTCTAGCTCTGAAGTGATTTAAGTGACACAAAACTACATGATGTTTTAATAGCAGTTGGTGAAATTGTTTCCCACACACTTTAAACTCGATTGAAGCAGCCGGGTAAATATTTCCCAGCACCTAACGGTTCCAAAACAACATTTTAAAGCTCAACCCTGGATCTATAAAACCTCCAGGATACTGTTTACATCAAACAAAGTAGAAAAAAAAAGACTAATTCTTGCCTTTTAGTGGAGTCTTTCCCATGTTGACGGATGAAGATGCCGTTACGACAATAAACGGGGTGTGGGATAATCACCCAGTTTGTCTGCGAAAATGTACAAATTCAACAGATTAAAATCAGAGATGCTTAATGCTTCAAATTGAATTTATCATCCAAATTTCAAGGTGCGCAACGTCGCAACTGCAAATGTTTTGCGAAAATGCAATGATGAGAGGTACACTGTGCCGACGTTCATCGTCAAGTGGACAAAATACAGTGGAAAAGTAGAATCAACAAGAACTGGACATCTTTCCAAAACTGAAAAGACAGGGAAAAACATTTGTCAGGAAAAGAAGTCTCCAGTGAGACTGAATGAACTGCAAGAACGTCTGGCAAATATTGGCTGTTTCACATGACAATAACCTGTTTTTCCTCCTATCTCTGGAGTCTGGTTTCAGGAACAACCAACTTTGGTTAAATTTGCGACTGATGACACAAAATCTCATTTGAAGTTTCCTAAAGCTTGTGGGAAAATGTGAAGCTATTCCTGGATGTTTTGGCCACAAACAGCACATTAGGTAAAAAAAAAAAAAAAAAAGAAAAAAACCCCACCACGCACACATTTTGAAGCATATCGCTTTGGATTTGAACAGTTGCTAATGCCTGTCAATTTCTGCTGGAAATAAAGAGCTTAATATGAACTTATAATAACGTTTTGAAATAGAGCCCAGAACCGAATCAGAGAGATTATCTGATTCGAAATGACTAGAAAATGTAATAAAATCTAAAAAAAAGAAAAAAGTGGTTCAACAATGTATTAGTTTATACAATTCAGCCTGCAGTTCAATTAAGTCACACAAATCAACGCATAACTGAAAATGCTTAACTTGATGTCATTTTCTTTACATCACAAAAAACTGAAACAAGGGAATGAAGATTTTTTTTTTATTTCCACTGTACAAACAGTTATTATTAAAAAAATAATAATAACAATAAAGTATAAATGTGCCGTTTAGCGGCTACAGTAGTGTGGTTTCCCAGTAACCCACACCCACTGAGAGAGGAAGCGTGGGGCTTTTTTGTTGTTTTTTTTTTTCACGAGCTCCAGCAGCCAGGCCCGTGGGGTGTGCTGGGACAGCCCTCCACTCTGTGGACAGTCCCTCAACTTCTCCACGTTTCAATGCAACTCGCAACAATGTCTGCTGAGAATAAAAATAATAATTTAAAATAATCTCACAACTAAAGTTAGGATTCTATTTTTTTTTATCTTTTCAGTTAAAAAAAGAAGCAAAATATTTCACGTTGAAGGTAACATAGTTAATATATTGATTTATTTTTAAGTAAAATCCATGTTATTGATATCTAGGTACACTGTTATTAGTGATATTAGGAGCTGAAGTTACGACATGACCGAAATACTTCACCGCGTAGAAAAGCTCTCTTTTAAATATTTCACAATGTTTAACTCTAACTTGTTGTTCCTTGTCCATCTTCGGTGTGTCTCCCATCAGCAGCCTGCTACTGTTTACTTGGTCCCAGACAACGGGAGGAAATACCGACACGGGTTTTACTTTCAATTAATTGTCGCGCTCACATTTGTTTCTGCGTTACATTTGTGCTTCTAAAATACGTAGACGACGCCAACATGAACCAACTTGCAGGTAATAGCCTGGGCCCAATGTTGACAACTGGAAGCGCTCAGTTGGCTAGCCGAGGCTGCTGGCTAATAACTGGGCAGGCTAACCTTAGCCTTAACCTTCTTACTGTAGTTTCTTCCACATCATGAAGCAGAATGGCGTGTTTTTGGACGCGACTACCTCGAAGTTGAAATGTTCTTAAAATGTATATCATTTACTTTAACGAACGAACTTACAAGTGCCGTCTTTTTTTCGACTGAAGATCCACTTTTTTCTATTCGTCAGCTGCCATTTTTCGCGAATGTAGTGTATGCTTACACGCATGTAATTTATGCCGAAGATAGTGTTATAGCGCGGAGGAGTCACGAGACGAGTAACTCGTCGACGCTGCGCTCAACAAGGAGCTTCTCTGCACCAATAAACACGTGTGTTGTTCACGAGACTGTCCAATCAGAGAAAGGTTTACTCAATTTATCCAATCAGCGTCTAGCCTGGGCCAGCCGAACGTTTTGGGATGCAATAAATATACTGGAGTTAGCCATCTTTCCTCAATGTTTTTTCATACAGGATCTTTGTCATGGATTCTCCTGCTGTGGTTCAAAACAGAAAAAAAATGGAAACATGGACATAAATTACATTTTGGTCGTTTTAGAAATTAAATATTTTTGAGAATGAAATAAAAAAATAAAAAATATATATACATATATTCTTTATATGTATATAAATATATATATATATATATAAGAATCTTTTTTTTTCAAGAACACAGTAGTTACATTTCAACAGTGAATGTCTGGGAAAGTTTCCACATGTCACAGTGCAAACTTTCATTATTATAAGAGCTAACCGTGCGTCGTCACATGAACCGATCTGCAAATGATTCATAATCCAAGTCTGGTGTCTGCTCAAACTGCCGTGTTTTCCCCACCCACCTATTTTTTCCGCTGGAGTTTCATCATCTACCCGTATTCATCAAAACTGATAAGTCACAAATGATCAGTTCAAATCTGCGACTGTCCTTTTATTCTAATAAATAAATAGCCCACAGCAAAACGAAGAATCATTTCTCAGAAATCTATCACTGCTTGTATGGGAAACTGACACAAAACACAAACTGGCAATAATGCAAGCTGCAGCAATCTCTTTTCTCTCATATGTACACCAGGCTGAGTGAAAACAGTGTCACAAAGGTGAAATACCTGTGTTTACTCACTATATTGTGTCATATTGTTTTCAGTTTTAAAATACTTGTCAGTCTGATTTTGTTTCTAACTACCCATTTAGCTAATCATTCGCTATTTAATTTTTTAAATAATAATTTATTGAATTTAAATTGAATTGAATTGTATGAGATTACCTCTGTCATGATCAGCAGCAAAATAACGCAAAAATCCACGTCACTCCAGGTGTAATTTACTTACACCTGCAGCTGACCAGTCAAACGGGTTTTTGTTTCTCTATTGCTAATGGCAATAAATAAATAAATGAAAATAAAGATATGCTTTATTTATACTTATCGGTGATGTATTTTTTATATATACTTGGATGAAGTCATGATTGTTTCACTGGACATTTTGCATTTTCATCTTGGTGCATTCCCTGCCAGGATGTGATGGCTGAACTTTTTGATTTTTTTTTTTATCATTGCGGTAAATGTCCCTAAATTTCCAACATTGGTCGTTTTGTGTATGAAATGTCAGACTGATTATTATTATTATTATTATTATTATTATTATTATTATTATTATTATTATTGAAGTATGTAACAAAAATGGAAAAGCATTTTTGAAATGTTTTTTTTATGACTTTGCAGTCATACTCTCCATGCATGTGGCAACAGTGGAAAGAAAAGAAACCTTCGAAACAAAGGATGAAAAAGGATGTTAACAAGTTCAACTCGGACAAATCGCAAGAAGTTGCTGATTTTTATTCCCGGTGCAGTTACAGGTCAAATCCTAAAGGTGGCAGCACAAGTTAGGCGAAATGCTGAGAAAGTTTTTCCAGGGAATGCTAAAGTTGGCAAGAGACATGGAGATAAACACAGATGCTGCGGAGATTTAGCTCGTCATTTTCCCAACTCTGACAATAACTGTGAAGTCCTACCTATTCACATTTATGAGCTCAGCATAGATTTAGTGCGTCAGAAAAAGGTTATTATACAGCAACAAATCTTCACAGAGCATTTGAGGGGGTAAGTAAATATTTATTATGCCATTGCAAACACCTTGCCCCTGTCTTTTGTCATGTTCTATTTCACGCCTAAGGAATTTATGGCCCCCCACATTTTTTTTTTTTTTTTTTTTATGATGCGCTTTTCCTGTAGCTACAAGCCCTCGGTAATGACCCCTGGATGAATTATGTTATCATAGTGGACGCAGGGTGTGATTTTGTGAATTATGTAATAGAGAATTTGGAACAATAATACCCCACTTCACACGAAACACCCTCACAGACAGCAACACAGTTCTTCCCCCCTCTACCCCCCGGTGAAGCCGTACCGCTCTCTCTGATTGGCCTTCGCGGAGGGGGGCCTGCAGATAAAAAAAAAAAAAAGCGCTTGGGCGTCTCTCATTGGTCGACGGCGGCGCCCGTCAAGGCTGTTGCCTGGGCGACGCGGTTCCAGCTTGTCAACCGCACGATCCAGTTTCTGTGGCCGCTTGCTGCAATGAAAACATCGTCGTTGGTGGGTGGATATATGTTTTGGGCCCGGCTCCATCCTTTTGTGACCCCCCAAAAACACCGACTGAGTGAGTAGTTTCTGTTACCTTACCGAGACGAGGCTTGTCTCTTGCTCTGCGCGGAGCGAGAATATTTGAAATACCGAAACAGAAATGGCAAACGCTTTGTGGTTTGTTTTGGGGCTAATTTGGAGTAATGCATGTTTGAGGGAATCAGAACGGACTCAAGTGGTTCCGTGAGAGCCCAATCAGAGCGAGACCGGGTTTGAAAGCTGCTAACGAGGCACTTCAATGAAGTTATCCCGACAGCCACTGTCTGTTTGACTTGTTGGATTTATTGCTCTGCATTAAAAATGAGGCTGCTACATTTATCCTGTGGGCAGTTGCTGCTAACACACACACACACACACACACACACACACACACACACACACACACACACACACACACACACACACACACACACACACACGCACGCACGCACGCACACAGGCTCCCACACACAATTTGCCCTGATGTTTAGTGCGTGGAGAATGATAGAAAGGCGTCAGGACGAGTCCATGTCAAATACTGGTATCTGTTTTTTCTTATATCTTCGTTTTTATGTTCCACTTGTGTTCTACTTTCGTGGAGCCTCCAAAAATATATATGTTGTGACGTTGTTATGCAGAGAGAAACACTCATCAGTTTGTCTCATTCTCATGAGCACAGATCTATTTCAGCGTCGGAAATAACTGTGAGGCACTATGGCGTCCTAATGGTGCCAAAATTCAATCAATAAATACATCAATAATCATTTTTCACAGTGCCTTCACAAAACTATTGCCACCTTTTAATCTGTTAAATACTGTTATTTTACAACTACTTACTCTATCTATCTATCTATCTATCTATCTATCTATCTATCTATCTATCTATCTATCTATCTATCTATCTATCTATCTCTCTCTCTCTCTCTCTCTCTCTCTCTCTCTCTCTCTCTATATATATATATATATATATATATATATATATATATATATATATATATATATATATATATATATATATATATATATATATATATATATACAGGAGAAAATTGTTGAGTTTTCAAAGTGTAATATATGCAAACAGCTGAATAGTGTGGCGTGCATTTGTTTTTAGCCTCTTTTACACAAAATAAGTCCAACGGGTTATGAAGAAAGCAGGGTTAGAATTGAAAACGGCATTTCAAAGAGCACCGTTCAGTCCAGAGAAGCAACCGCAGTAACTTTGGAGGAGCTGCACCAACACACAGCGCGGGTGAGGGATTCTGTTGACAAATTTTTGAATTATTAAAAAATTGACAGAATTTTTCAAATGCAATGCATTTTTTTTCTCAGAACTTCAAAGAGTTGCTTGTAAAAAACTATTAGACATCTGGCTAGATTATTGTCAATAAATTAAGGAGAGTAGGTATTTGCAAAAACAATGAAACCACTTGAAAACGATCAGAGTTGTTATTTAGAATAAGACCTCTGTCATCTGAGAATAATGGGTTTATTTCTATAAATGTTGATATAAAAGTCAGTTTAGTTCCACTATTGCTGAACAAGGACCATTAACTCTCCTTAAAAAGCAAACTTTATTGATAGCTAAAAGTTTGCACTGTTTTGTTTTCGTCTTTGGTTTAAAAATTACACAGCGACTGGTAGCACTGTGCACTTCTGCATGTTCAGCTTTAAACCAAACTATGTTTGTGTACAATTTCTGGTACATCATTAGTTAAATACAGGTGAGAGAAAGTAAAGAAAAACCTAACCATACGCTTACCTAAATATGTCTTAATAATCCAAAAATAACTCTTTTTATTTATTTATTTTAAGTTCCTGGTGTTTATTTTTACATTTTTACCATAATGATTCAAGAATGTGGGCAGGGTTACAACTGATTTTATCAAGATTATTACCTGCTAACCAATCAGAGAATACATTGATAAGTTTGAAACGTGGAATAGGACCAACTAAACAACAATAAACGGCAAAGTATTTTTCTGCTTACATTAAATTTGAATAATAGATACATTCCTTTATTTATCAAATTACTGCTTCCAATTGGATATTAATGAGGATGTATGCAAATAATCATTTGCTGATTTATTTATTTATTATTATTATTATTCTTGTGGCACTTTTGGCACTTGATACACACCACATGTATAGGCTTTGCCGTCAATTTGACACATTCCCTCCATTACCACGCATGAGTCATTCTGTTTATGAAGACAGAAATATAAGATCCAAGGTGATGCTCAGTGTCTTTCTGATCATATATGCCTCCTGGGTGTAAGGAAATGGCTTAAATCTGCTCTAAAACCAAAAGGTTGCATGCCAAGTGATACGATAACACAAGACTGCAGGTGACTAAATTAAATATGTGTTTGTGTGTGTGTTTTTAAAAAAATAATATCTCCTTCTTTAAAATTGGCAACAGTTGCTGTCAGTTCACCCTCATTGATGCTTCGCTGGCTGAGTGAGATAAGACCACACAGCAATATTTAGCGATCGGGGAGACGGAGTTTATTTTTGGTGCCGAGGACTTTGCATAGTGATGAGCGGCCCCGGTGCCCACAGCACTGTAGGAGACTGGGAGTGTGAGTAGGCAATGGTTAAGTCCTCGTGCTCGCTGGCAAGGGGAAGATGAAATGGGGAAAGTGGTATCTGGAGCCTTCTCTGATTCAATAAGCGTAAAAAGAGTGCGTGGATACCAGAGGAGGAGCTTTAATCAGGTTAAGGATGTGTGTGTGTTTCTGTTTCGTTCTGCTGAAAAGGTAGGAACAGTAGAAGCAGCCTGATTGCACATCTAAAGCTCAAACTCTCCATATTTTATTCATAAGTCTCTTGTCGGTTTTTGGTACGTACGCAATGTTTAGTTTCCCCACAGTCTGTGTTGCATAGTGTCTTCAGGTGCTCCGAAGCTGTGTTATTTATGCTAATATTCCAAATGATATAATCAGTTATGGCCTAAATGATAATACTTAAGACTTAAGTTATGAGGCAGAACATTCGCGGTGTAAACTGGGAGCGAGGAAATTGAATAATTAGGGCATTTTACAGACAAGGGAGGTCTTTTAAAAGAGGATTTTAAAAGAGGATTATAAATGGTGGGATCCACTGGTATTGGGACTGTGATTTCTTCCCATCTTCTAACCAGACTTCAGCTTGAAAAGGGGGCAGAACTGAACTGCATGAAGAGTTCACTTCATTTCTTACAATAACCAGCAGTAAAAGCGCCATGTGGTTTGGATGGGTAGATTCTCATTTTAGCCAGCCAACAATCCCTGGATATCATACTGCAGGTATTTCTTATAAAATCCATCGGTCTGAATGGTAACGTCTCGGGGTTAGGGAGCCTCATATGCAAACGTTAAAGGAAGGGTGAGAAATAAACATGTCAGAGGTTTTTCCTCTGAGAGTTTACAATCTGATTCTTTCACTAGGAGTTTTTTGTTAATATGAAGGAATTATATACCTAAAACAAGCTCCTGTAGCTTGTTGAAAAGTTACTTGTTTGTTAGTTTTGTCTTATTTCAAGTGTAGAACCAACAATAATTGGTAAAATTTTGTGTTTTTCCAGTGTAGAAAATCTGTTGTTATATAATAGTGTTACAGAGATAGGTGGCACTTTGCTAGTTTTTGCACCATGACTCCAAATTTACCCTTTTGTTTTTGAGTGAACCAGGGGTTTAGGGGAAGTGCTGAGTTACTCCATCCTTAGTTCAGTTGTGCAGATTTTTTTCTGGCATCTCATTTTAATGATCTTAAACATTAGGAACGATATGATGGTGAATTTAAGCAGGTTTGAAAACTGTGAATTGTAGTGTGCATTGATGCTAGTAACTGCCCCAAGCCTACTGTAGATAGTAGGTTTTGCCATGATGATGGTTTAAACAATTTCCCCTCGTAATGTTGTCTGCTACCATTAGAGCTGTTTACGCTGTTTTAATTTTGCACGGTGCTTTTCTGCAGGTGAAGACGAGAAGGCATGAGGTCCATGTTATGGATTACAGCAGATGTGGCCGTCTGTGGAGCCGCCAGCTGGCCGCCGCATGCCATCGTGTAGCCAGGGCTGCCTTGCCTGAGCTCCATGCACCTCACACATCATACCTTTGACTTCATGAAGATTCCTGACATCTGTGATGTAATGAATAAATTTGAAGTCCTTGGGATTGTGGGTGAAGGTAAGAATGACTATTTGTTTTTATTTGATCTGTTACAAACAGTGAGTACAGACCAGAAATGCTCTAATCAGGCTTTCTTTCCCCTTCTTTCTGGTTTATACCAAGTTCAGGTTTTTCTTTGAGGTCTGGCATGCTAGATATGACTTCTTTTTAGTAGTCGTTATAAATTAATAATAACAACAACAAAAAATCAAGATTATCCCAGTTTATACATAAAAACACATAAAAAGAGTATGTGTATACCAGAGGAGGAGCTTTAATCACGTTAAGGATGTTTGTGTGTGTCACTTTTCTGTATTTCAGTGCTTTTCGACTGAAATTGGTGGGAGTTCTTAGTTTTGATTGACTTCAGAATTAGGGGAAAAAAGTCATTTAGATTTTGCAAAGTAAGTCATACGTCCTGAATTTGTCACATGTTGCCACGCTACAACCAGGATTAACCTCCAGATACTCTGCATCTAATCTGAGCTGTCTTTGCAAAGAACATCCTAAATATTCTTTAGATGCACAAAATACAAGTAATATTGACTTACATAATTCTTTTTATCAATAATATGCTGCTTTCTGTTGGTCTGTAATATAAAATCTTAATGAAGTAAAAAAATTTTAAACCTAAAAAAAATATGAAAATGTTTATTGGGCACTCCAATTGCTTCATTTATTTAAATTATTGAACTAGATGTCAATAAAGAAGTTTAATAGATCTGCGTCTCTCACAGTGTTAGAGTAGCTGTTTGACTTTAGTTCTGATTTGTTCTTTTTTGTTTGGAGAAATTTGCTCTGATTGTTTTTGGCTGAGGAGTTTTCACAATTATTCCCTTCTGCTGTTGGACGCTGTGCAGAGGTTGTTTTATCACTGTGTTGGTGCATAATCGTAGCAACCAGGTAGCGTTTTCTTGCAGCCAGGAGTACCTGATTAGCATCTCAAAAGACAAAAATAATACCTGAACTGCGACCCCCAAATCCCAGAGGAGATGAAGAGAAGGCTTCATGGAAAACGAGAGAGCAGAAACAGAAGGAGAAGTTCAATCCGTGTCTTTCGTCGATAATAATGGGCCGTGATCAGAACCCTGACCCAGCCTCTCTCTGCCCAGCATCCTGACCACACCAACCAGTTATTCAAAGAGGGATAGCAAAAGCAAACCAGGTGGATTAGCTGAGCTCGCCTAATACTCATGGTGTCACCCAGGATATGTTGCATCGTTTCTGCTGTCAGGAAGTTGAGCTGTTAGCATGTTGTGATAGTCATGATGCAGCAACAGTCTTCAGTCAGAGGCCTCTTCTGATTCACTGCAAGGCTGACTGCTGCTGGAGATTCTTCCTGCCCACAGTCACCATCCACAACAACTCTGTGAAGATTCTTGCATAAAATGAGTTATGACAACATTTAACTTCATTTTGTTTAAATAATGTTATTTTTAATGTTTTTGAATACCGATTTACATAAAAAAAATAGCATATAATCAAAAAGATTGCAATTTGACATCAACCACACAATTCATTTGTACTACCTGACCTGTCACAGTAATAAATTTTGCTGGGCGACAAATTGTCCCAGAAGTTATTGCGGTAAATGATAGTACTGCTGTTTTGAGCCCATTAACAAGTGATAACGCTTTAATAATTCAAGAACACATTCTCAAAGATCATAACACTTCAAATTCTAATGAACATTTAACACTGGAATAATAAATAAATAAACTAAAACAACAGAAACAGCAAATGACCTCCTCCCCCCCATCTCCCCAGCACTTTAAGTATCTGGTTCTTGGTAGAAAAAAAGAGAAAAACAATAAGTCCTGCAAGTGGAAATCATCGAGCTCATTTTCATCTGTCATCCGATCTATTGATCTACTGCTTATCGCGACAGGCCATGTAGCAAGTTTTACGCGGTGGCTTTACATTACAGTGAGTTTTGCATAAAACACTTATGCTGCATTTCCAAAGTGTCGTCAGCTTCAAGTGAACCGCGGTGGGTCCGGGAGTTCGGCCCCTTCGAAAAGCTTCTTCTGGCTCGTCTTTTGCCTCGAGCGGCTCGCTCAGTGTAAAGTTGCAGCAGCTTTGAAGCGAGGCCACCCACTTGTCCCAGTTTTCACGCTCCTACACTGACATTTAGAATGTGTGTGCAGCGTGCCACCAGAGGACACGGGGAAACTTTGAGTGAGAGATTTAGAAAGCTGAGTGCCTCTCCAGTGATGAGTCGCTCAGGAAGGAAGGAAGGAACCCTGCACTTTTAGGGCCACATTAAAATATAAAGCTGTACGAGTTTGTCTGTCTCATATCAACTGCAGCCTCTTCCTTTGCGCTTGTGGACCAAATGTGTTCAGCACCATTGATTTCGTCCTCCACTGATCACGAGTCCAGTCAATTTTGCTAATGACTTAGGGCAAAGTGCTTTATGTAGGTTCACCCCAGCAATTAAAAGCTCTTATGTAACTATTTTTGCTTATTTTTTTTTTTAAAGAAGGTTGTTAATACATTAGTGAAAATTATGCTTTTGGGGTTTTTTTTTCTGCTTGGTGTTTGGTGCAAGGTTATAATTCCTCACAAATGTGTTCAGAACTCCTTGAACTTTTCTCATTGCAGGCACAAACTTCAAAGTTTTTGTTAGAAAATGTAGTTATGAAAATATAATCTGAGGAATTTGTCATGCATTTGTATTCCCAGAGAAATACCGCTGTCGTGCAGCGGGGGGATTCCTTTCTCCAGTTTTGATTGAGCAGTGACGAATAAAACCTTTTTTTGTGTCTATTTTCTCCACCTAATCCAACTGACTTTGAGCTATTTTGCAAAACTGAATGGGCAGAAATTGTCAAAAGGGAATTTTAGAGATGATATAAATGCTTTTGAGACTTATGTTAATAAAACATTTTCAAAGCTATGCTTAATTAACCTTCTACGTCAGATGATGTACTACTTAATAAATCAGTCTCAATAAATACATTGAAGTTTGTAGTTACTGTGTGAAACTTAAAACTTAAACTTGTAGGGATATGAATGATAGAGCAATTTTAGAGCAGAAGCTCGCTAATAATGAAGAAGCAGTTTATCCCATTTTACATTATCAATTAAAAAAATGTTATTAAAAAAAATAAAAATTTTGGGGATAAACTTGAACATAATAATTTACATCCAAACTATCCCATTAATAGTCTTTCTTTGATGCATTTGATTTAAATTTGAGCTCTAAATATTTAGCGATTGATCACAAATAGACAAGTAGAAACTTCAATCCTGGAACAAGTCATTAAAAACAGCCGAATCACCAAGTTTCTTTAAATCTAGACTGTATTAGAGTTGCAATTGTGCCATAATAAATGAAACACTAACCAACAATTTTATGTGTAAATGACGACACTTGGGGAAAAATACGATTTTTCTATTGTGGACTTTTCTGCGTTTTGATCATGTAAAACCCTTCGAACTGCCTTGTTGCTGAAATGTGCGACACAAATAAACTTGACTGATAGAGAGAAGCAACAAAAATATCTGTGGTATCAAGGAGCACGGGTTTTGTCCTCAGCAGGTTAAGGCTGTCGGTGTTTCGGCGTTTTACATTTGCAGCCCGTAGGTCTGGATGTACTTGTACTGCATATCCGAGCGGCTTCCTGCTGAGACAGATGACCAGCTGACACGCTGGAGAAGGAGCACAGAGCAGTTTGCCATGTGCCTGCTCAGTCCAAGGCTGGTGTCCACCAGGGGACACACGTTTGGGACTGCCAGGGTCGACAACATCAGAACCACACCAGCTCGCCAACACTCGTGTCCTATTACTGCACAACAACCTGTGCTTTTACACGTTAAAGATGTGCTGACTTAATTCACACTAAGGTGTCAGAAGTATGACAAAAAAAATTGAAAAAAGATTTAAAATACTGTTGTTTTTGGACTCTTGCTTCACTAATAGAAGTCACACATATGCACTCATAATGTTTTCATCAGCTTGAGGATGTTGCTGCCCGTTCAGTTAATCTGAATGCATGATTGGGTGTTAGTAGAAATAGCTGTGATAAGTTATTAACACTTTGCTTTTGTTTTAGGTGCTTACGGTGTTGTTCTGAAGTGCAGACAAAAGGTAAGACCAAAACTTTGATTGCATTCCTGTCCTTTATATTATGCACATAAAAAATGGTTTCAGAATGATTGCTTAATTGTTACTTTAGGACGGATGTCCCAATCGGAACTTTTTGGTACATTATACCTTGATACCTTGTATATGGAACAAAATAACAACATTTCACCTGTATTACATGCTTTATGTTTGTACTTTTCAGATTAAGGATTTTGTAGATCTTTTTCTTGGATATTTTCTCAAATTTAACACACCAAAATAAGGTTAACGAAACTGAGAAAGCTGCTCTAACATCTCATAGTGTGTCACCCGAAACGCTCCAATGTTAATCATTCATTCTGAACATATATTTGACTCCATACATTAGGCTACATGCATTTTCATGTGAATAAAGTGACAGCTTTCAGCATTTCACAATATCTTGTTTCAGATTTATTGGTTTGTTGAAAGGGAGCCATCCTAACAGTTCACACACTCTCTCTGAATGATTTGGGGGTTTGATTGGGTCTTTAGTCATATTTTATTGAAGCACACCGCTGACCTTAGCACATTTGTCTTTTGTTCTAATATTATTCATTGATAATGTGTTTCATAAAATATTTCAGAGCTGTTGCGGTTCCTGTTGTGCAGATAATACTTTGCTTTCCTGATTCATAAACGTAGTACTTTTTATACAACATCATAAATGTTAAGAATAGTGTTTCGGCTGCTCTCTGTGCAGTTCTCCTGGGATACCTCTGCTTCTCAGTAGCAGGACAGTTGCTAGCAACTGGCCTAAAAGTCACCAGAAGTTGCTGGCCGATCCATCCATCCTCAAGTGATGAGTTCATCACTTACTTGAGTCAACTTTGTTTATTTTTTATTTTTTTATAGATAATTTTCTACTTTTAGTATTCTTTGTCAGCTTTCCAGTGGGGTGTTTATGTTTTCTCTATGACCATAGCAGTGATTGACAACTTTGTTTGCTCTTTTGTGGACTATCTACATTACATTAAGTCGACCAAAAGGAGACAAAAAAAAAAAATGTAGTGATTTATTTTACACAAAAAAATATTGCACATTTTCATCCTGCTCGTCGCTGATACCTGATCTAGAAAGTTTTTGTATATTGGGACCAATACAGACATTAATATCGTATCGATGCATCTCTAGTTATGTAAGATGATGAATGATTTGAGCGAGGCATTTAGAGGGTTCTGTGACCTGACCCATTAGTCATGTTGAAGGAAAGTACCAAAAGGCTTCTGAATGCTCGAATACTGGTTGTAATCGTTTTGCATGAAATGGAGCTTCGCTGCGAAACTGTGCCTTTTGATTTCCTCCCTCTGTTTTTGTTTCTGCCAAAATGGCTCCCGGTTTGTCTTGTTGCCGTTTATTTTGTTTCCGTGTCCCCGTTTCTCGAGAAGCAGGGACACATCTACTGCTGCATAAAAGAAAGTAGGAAGCCCATGAAAAGTGAGACAGCCCACACTGCAGTAACAGCCCTGTCATCTTAGCTCGCTTAAAGGAAGATGCCGTGGCAGAAATTGACAGCAATCCAATATGAGTGAGAGAAATTGCCTCCTACTTACAGAAATCTGCAAAAAAAAAAGAAAAAGGAGACAAAACGTTTTCATAACCTCCTTATTCAAAGTTCTTGATGGTTTTGTTCTCGCTCTGCAAACTGTTCGTCTGCGAATCAGCTATATCACTCAGTGCCATTTTTCAATGCCAGGGAGTTGAGTTAAGCCTAAGAAATGTAACACTTGTTTTTCAGCAAGCATTGTGAAACTATTAAGGAGAATTGGGGGAGGGTGATAGGGTGGGGAGGTGGGAAGTGTGTAAAAAAAAAAGAAAAAAAGAAAAAAGGACAGTGCCGGGGCAGCACAGCCTGTAATTACTGGGCTTTATTATTCAAATTGATTGATCACTCAGCCAGGCAGCTGCAAATGCCAATGTCTCCATTTTAAACAACAGGACGCACATCAATAGACCTCGTTTCGGTTCACATAGCAGATGGAGTCTGCGTTCTGCCGCGCTTCCTTTCTTGTGTTTACTTTGGCAAAGATCCATCACCGGCGATTGTGACGGAACTGTTCAAAATGTTAGAACCGAGTAAAGGCCCCGTCTGCTTGATAGAAAGATAATTTCTCCACTAAATTCTTCCCTTCTTCGTCACGTTTTCTGTGTTTCATGGGGTGTTTAAAAACACACTGCCTCGCATGAAAAGCATGCGGCCGAATCCTCCGGCTGCTGATCCATATGGACCGCTGCCATCTGGAAAAATCTTTGCATTGTTTGTGTGAATGAACGGCCACGTCTTTCTAAGAGCTGACACGCAGATCCGGCCTGCATCATTACGCGTGCACAAAAAGCGCAGCGGAAACAGCGCGCTCGCTTTCAACGCGCACAATCAGCACATGAACCCACAGACGAGGTTCCATGATGCTGCGACCCTGGACCAGGAAGAGCTCCAGGCCGCAGAAGTGGGTTCACTGCATGAGTCTGCAGCTGCTCGTCCTAACAGAACCCATCCACTCGTCTAATCACGATAATTAGATGCAAAGAATGCGCAGGGTTTCGATGTGGAAGGGAAGCGAGTACTCCAACACGTACTTTCATCAGTTTTCTCCCGGTAATCTATTTGCGGACGCCGCATCTGCTGCACGGGATGCGTGCATGAAGAGAGGAGGCAGCTGGGACGAAGATGGGAACAGAACGAGGGAGCTGATGAGGGTTCAGGCGTAATCTTTTGATTGTCTGTGTGGCAGCATCCGCTGATGCTCGGTAGTCTGGGCAAGCTGAAGGTGACCAGGTCCAACAAACATAATCAGATTTTCACACAAAGAACTCAGCTGAAAAATAAAAAAATAAAAATGCAATAGATAAATATTGCAATGACAATGTTTATTGTGATTCATAAAAAAAAAACATCAACATTCCAACACTCTTGATTTTCAGCATCTCTTGTCATATTTTGGGATGATATTGACATGAACAGTGAGAGTTAATAAATATATATGTACTTACATAGGTGAAATTATTGCATTTGAAGCTGTTCTTTTGAATATTAATGTTGCGCATACATATTGCAATGATGAGATATTTGTGATTCGTAGTGCTGTCTTACCAAAAACACACACAGGTAAAATTTTAAAGCCTTGGTCTGTTGATATATATTTTAGCAAAACCTTTTTAAAGAACTTAAACTTTTTCATTTTCCTAAAGCTAAGTAATTTGGTTTGCCAAAACTGATTTTGACAAAAAGAAAGGTAAACCAATACAAAAAAAATGACAACCTCTTTTCTTATTTATTTATTTATTTATTTATTGCCAAAAGATGATTTAGGAAACCAAAATATTTTGGCAAAAAGTGACTCAAACCATTATTTTAGGAAGGTGACAACATAGGAGAATACAAAGAACTGCATTTAACATTTTTTATGATCTTTCTGTACAGTAGAAGCAAAGCTGATGTGTCATTGAGAGAGCAGTGGCTGTAAAAATGATGTTGGGAGTAGGTGAAGGGTTTAAAAAGAAAGAAGTATAGAGAGAATACAAGACAACACCCCAGAAGTCTGCTTCTACACCTGCAGAAAGAGAGAGAGAGAGAAAAAAGAAAAACTGAGCAGTCCAGGATTTCTAAATGGCAGCTAGCATTTAGAAATTAGCTGGCAGCTAGCATTTCTAAATCCAGCGTGTTGCATAACCACATGCTTTTTTAGCATTTCAAGCTTTTTTCTTAGCTTTAAATGCTGAAAAAATAAGCAAATGTGCAATCTGTTTAGCCTTCCTGTTATCTGCTGAAGACTCGCTAGCAAACAGATAACTTTGAATTTTAATCTTTGTCACTCTCTAAAGTGACTGATTAGTAAAATGTCTGTTTTTTGAGTTTCCTGACAGTCATCCTTTCAGCATGTTCACGTTTTGTCATGCTGCAACACAAAACTCGGTTGTGTTTTACGGGGAATTTATGTAGCAGACACAAAAGTAGCGCGTAATGATGAAGTGGAAAAAGAAGGCTTTCCACTTCACAGTTTCACAAAGATTTACTAACCAAAATGAGGACCATGAATTAGATTGAAGCTCCCACGAAGAGTCAGTACCTTCCAGAAACTTCTTTATCTCATATTATGTCTGTGATTCTTTTTAGGCGGATGGGACCACTTTTTCTTACTTATTTTTTTGGCTGTTCTTCCAGTAAAATTATGTGAAGAGTGTCTGTATTTCATTACTTTCCTGGATTCAGGTTTGGACTTTGACTGGGCCATTCATGGCATTAAAATTAGCCAAATGCCTCAAAGCATTTTTTAGGAGTTACTGTTGATGATAAACTAACTTGGAAACAACATACTGAACTTGTATGGAGAAAGACGGTGAAATCAACAAGTGTTTTGTGTAAAGTTTATAATTTAATTAACCGATCTTATATGTTGACATTATATGATAGCTTGATACAGCCACATTTAATATATTGAAGCAATGTTTGGAGTGCTACATGTCAATAACATCTCCATATAAGATATAAGATTGTACTAATTCAGAAGAAATTTTAAGAATAATTACTTTTTCAAACAGACTGTCTTCATCTGCTCCTCTTTTTTAATCAAACATAAGGTTTTGGTCATATTTAATGTGAACATTTGTTGTAGATTTATTTTTATGGATAAGTATGTGCATTTAGCTTCAGATTTGCCAGTAGTTTTTCAAATCTTTTTTTTTTCTAAATATTCTGATTTTTACACTTTTTCAACAAAACAACTTTATGACTTTCACTTACGCAGGTCAGCAATAAAGCAAAATGCACTTCAGCATAGATGGGCTTTTTGGAAACATACAATGAAATATGTACTTTCAAAGTGACAAAAGTGTGAAAAAAATTCGAGTATGAATACTTTTCCAAAGTGCTGCATTAGGACGAATGTTTTTAGACCATTTCAGCCACTCAACCATTCCACTTATCCTATTGCAAAAATGCATTTAAATATGGAGTTAAATTTTTTATGTGGCAGTGCTGCAAGTGT